AACATAAACAATAACTGTAAGAATAAAGTCTCATGTAAAGCCCACCCTGAGTGACAGCAGGATTTAATGTAAATCATTTAATGCAGTGGTTCTCAAACTTTTTTCACCAAGTACCACCTTAGAAAAAAATCGTCTCTCCAAGTACCACCTTACGACGCTATTTTTTAACCAGTATTAAAAAATAGCGTCGTAAGCCTAATTAAGCAGCTACAGGTGTGCACAGTTTTAAAACGATGCAGATTACTTCCTATTAGTAAGAATATGTATTATTGTCAGTCACTTTAAACATTTGAAATAGTCTGAACATTAACTGTGCTTGCAGATAAAAAAAAAAAAAAAGTTTTAGTTAAAATGTGCTTTTAAAAGTTCATTAAAAAATGGCGCTGTTCTTAAAAAGTAAAAAGAAAACTGCTGTACTTAAATCTAAAGTATTCATAGTAGCCTATTCATCAAAAGCTGGAAATGCTGCTTGGACCTTATAAATATAGGCTATATGTCATATTCATACACTTTCAGACATATGTAGAATATGTATTGAAGACCTGAAATGTATTCTCAGCAACCCATAAAACATTGCATAAGAATAGATACAAATAAAAACCATTAATAATAATACTTATTAATCATATATTAATAATATAATAAACCTGCACTAAGTGCTTGTGAAATCTTTTTTGTACTCAAGTAAAAATACTATTACACTGCTAAAATAACAAAAAATTTAGTAAATAATACTAATATTAGGTATACGAATTACTCTTTTTAAAAAGTACTAGTTGGTTACTTTTGAAAAAAAATCTGATTTTCATTATGAAATCACTTTTTTTAAGTGTAAACCTGATTTAATGGTTTGATTGCTTACATCCCAAAGCTAGATGTATAATTTGCACTAACAAAGGAAGTATAGTCAATTTTTCCTTTCATGACAATTAATCTTTTTCAATAGCACTGGTAAAACTACCAAATAATCTTTAAGGCCATAGAGACACTTTTTGCCCATTTTTAAAAATATATATTTTTAAGCTTTGAAAGGTTAAATTAAAGTATATGGTAAAAAGATTTAAATTTAGCCTTTTATTTACATATTTTACACTATTTTCTTTACAATATGGCAAATGTGTTTCTTAAATAGCTGTACATCACATGTAGATTTTATTTTACACTTGATCTTGATCTAAAATAGAAACGTAAAAAAATACAAGTACACTGTTAGTTAAAAAAAATAAAACAAATGAATTCATTTTACTTGAGGTATTTGAAATATGACGACACTACATTTATCAAAGCAGTGCTTTAAGAGCCTTATTGTAAATTGTGATAAATAAACAATAAGTAGGCTAACAATGGATTGCTTTGACCTGTAATGCTTTAGGACAGATCAGAATACAGCTAAATGTATAAATCACACAAATACCTCACCCAGAAACATTTCCAGCATAATTATTTTGTCGTAAAGAAATAAAAAATGTTCCACCTTTGCTAAAAGTAAGTTTCACTTCACAACACAGCCAAATAAGAAGACCATTAGCATTGTCATCGATCATGTATCAATCTATTTCTAAATATTTGATAACTTTGAATACTTTTGACTAAATTTAGTTAAGGAGCAAAGATAAATAATGTCTAATTTAATAGTGGAAAGATCGCGATTGTATTCTATCTGAGCACACACGCGATCATGAGAGCACTTGCAGTTCATTTGAAAAAAGCCTATTTAAGAGCTCGCATATCTGTTTTAGCGATTTGCACACATGAATGCGCTCTCGTGTTAAAATAAAGCACTCGCCGCATTTGCAGAAATGAGTAATTGCGCAATACCTTCATTCCCGCGCCGCCATTCAGACTGTATAGAGGAGTGACAGGTCAGAGGCGAGTCGACTGGCTGTCGGAGAGCGAAACGTGTATGAAGATCATCAAATAGGCAGGAAATATGTCCGCGGTTTAATTACTCTGCTAGACATCTCTATAGTGAAAACATCCGAGAAGCATTATTCCAACAAAACATTTGTTTTTAAGTTGTTTTTTCTGTCTCTGCAACACAGAAAGCCTTTGTCCCGCCCTTACGTTTCACGCAACTAGACAAGGTCGACTGTGATTGGCCACTTTTCATGTCAGTCAAATCACGCTTCAGAATCAATTCGGAAACTGATTTTCAGCAGCTTATGACACAATGCACTAAAATAAACACTCCAAGCACATCGCTGTGATCGTACGCTTCACAAAACAGCCAATGCCGATCACATCAATGTTATATTACGCATTAAAGGATTAAAAGTGTTAATTGCTTCTTTCATTATTCAGCGATTCCTCCGCGTACCACTAGGAGGAAGCCCGCGTACCACTAGTGGTACGCGTACCACAGTTTGAGAACCACTGATTTAATGTAATCCAGACTCATTCTGGCTTGATCTGCTTTATTACTGAAAGAAATCAGCTGATTCCTGCTCTTCTGCTCTGGCCAACACACGACAGATCCTTATCAAACAAGCAGCTGCTGGAGTAATATTAAAAGGTTAATAAAACCTATTAATTCAGCAGCAGTTGTTTACATCTCAGTTCTGAATTAAGAAACAAGGCTGAAGAAATGCAGGAGGAAAGAGAGGAGCAGAAAGCTGAATAATGTCCACTTCTGACACCACACAATATGGAGGTATTCCAGGAGGTAATGTGACATAGCTTACACAGATGTTTACATTATTTAGGCATAAAGCTGCGGCCGGATGTTAACAATTGTTTACAATATTTATTAAATTACCTATTAACTGTATTTACCTCTAACCATAACCCAAATGCAATTATAGGACTCTTGTAAGACTGATGGATCAGGACTGCCATCTGCTGGACACACTGAGTCAACATAGCACTCGTATAATGCTGGAAAAATAACGCTGTGCTGGAATAAATAACTTGAAGATGACTGAAACCCATTCCGTGGCTTTCTTTATCGATTGTGTCGTGAGCAGAATCTCCAGATAACCTTCATTCACAATGAATAACATTTGATGCAGCGAATCAATGACTGTGACGAATGGCCAGGATCAATGTCACTCTTGTCTGCACCAGTCAGCAGCATATTGAGCAGTGTGCCACATTTTGCATGCAAAATGTTATTTAGATTTTCTTTTTAAAAATGCATCCAATTATATGTCCAATCCAATTAAAATACAATTGAATTCGATATAATTGAGTTGAACTATAATTAAATATACTATAACAACAACAACAACAACATTAACAATAATAATAATAATAATAATAATAATAATAATAATAAATAGATAAGAATAATAAGAATAATGTTATTATTATAATTATTATTAGCAGTATTATTGTTAATATTATTTTTATCATTATTATCATTATTATTATAATAATAATTATTATTATTATTATTAGTATTCATCAGTATTATAATTATTATTAATATTAATATTATTATTATTATTATTATTATTATTATTATTATTATTATTATTATTATTATCAGTACTATTATTATTATTATTATTATTTTATTATTATTATTATTATTATTATTATTTATATTATTATTATTGTTATCGTTATTATTATTATTATTATTATTATTATTATTATTACTATTATTATTATTACTATTAAAATTATTATTATTATTATTATTAATATTATTATTATTATCATTATTATTATTATTAATATTATCAATATTGTTATTATTATTATTATTGTTATTATTATTAATGTTTTATTATTATCATTATTATTAATATTATACTTATTTTTATTATTATTATTATTATCATTAATCATTATAACATATATATATATATATATATATATATATATATATATATATATATATATATATATATATATATATATATATATATATTAAGTGCCTTTAGTGTATTTTAGTTTATTTAATTAGTTTTAAAAACATAGATCAAATTATAATTGCATTATAAAAGTATACAACACCAATGAGAAGAAAAATAATAATTATTCTTATTAATACTATTATTCAAATATAATTAAAAAAATATTAAAATACGTACTTAGTTATAAATTATTCCAACAATAAACAAGAAAACAACCCAAAATGAACACACAAAAAAGTAAAAAAAAAAACTACTAATAAATATTGAGCTGAATCAACAGAATTCTTGAGGTTTTATTTAGCATAACTTAATCATTTTGTGTTCAATCCACTTAAATTTGTAAAAAACAACAAAAAAAAAAAAAACAATGAAGTTAATCGATTAATTGATTTGTGTCCGGACAACATGAAGCAAGTGTGTGGAACAAAGCGCTTTTTACAGTAAAGGATAGGACACAACACACAACAGTACGGTAAATAATAAATTTATTAGCTTATTTGTTCATGTTAGAAATAAAATAAATGAAATAAAGTTGTTATTAGGCTTGCCACGATAGACGGTGTTGACGGTGATACCGGTTTTAAGATGCAACACCGATGACATCACTTTTCCACCGTGACACCGTCCCCACATTTGTTTTTTTTTACGTTTTTTTTATTATTAAATATTTATTTGAATTAAATGGAAAATATAATTATAAGTAATTGACCTTAATTGAGAACATGCTCTATAATTAAAATCTGAACATAGCTACAATGCGTCATATTTCATTAATCACGTGAGGAGAAAAGAGTCGAATTGGTGGACGATATAGTGTCACAATGCAATGCAAAAGCGCCTGTTTGGCAATATTTTGGGTTCAAACCATGAGGAAGGAACCGGAGGAAACCCACACCAAGACAGGGAGAACATGCAAACTCCACACAGAAACGCCAAGAACTCGAACCAGTGCCCTACTTGCTGTGAGGCGACATCGCTAACCACTGAGTCAGCGTGTCGCCCTGTGACATTTTTATCCAAGGTTATCATACTGTCAGAATCATATCTGCCTGACATTAAGTAATGAAACCTTTTTGTAAAGTGTGACCCAAAAACAAATCTTAACTAGTAATGAAAAGATGTGATTGGACTGCTTCTGACCTTAATTCTGGGCATGGTGACGGTGGGCGGTCTGGCTTTGGCGATGAAGCTGTGAGACGAGCCTTTCTCCACCACGTGTCTGGTGTAGGGCATAAACCTCCGTCCATTAGAGCTGAACACAAAGTCTTCCCTGAGAGCGTCGATCAGGACTATCACCACACGCTTGAACAGCAGCGCCGGCGCTCGGCTGGAGTTAACTGCATTATTACCTGCAGAAACACACAAACACTCTTATCTGACTCTCTGTTGTTGCTGTTGTAGTATTATTGTTGTTGTTGTTGTCATTTTTACTGTCAGTATTATTATCATTACTATTATTGTTATCACTCGCCACCACTGATTGGTTTAGTTCTATATTTTTTATTCAATGCTGATGGCAAAGATAAAATAAAACAGTTATTATAAATGAGTTATTAAAAGTATTGTGTTTAGGATATATGCTGAAAAAAATCTGCTCTCCATTAAACAGAAATTGGGGAAAAAATATATGTACAATATTATATTTGTGCATATACATTAAATTAATCAGTATTGAAGTCAAATGTGTCAAAGCTTAACTACTAACATAAAAACTTACAATACCGGTCAAAAAACTAGTACAGCCAAATTTATATATTATAGAAATATAATAAATCCAAATGTAAAAAAGTCAAGAGAAGCAGAAATTTACTTATTTACTTATTTGTATATATATATATATATATATATATATATATATATATATATATATATATATATATATATATATATATATATATATATATATATAATTAAAATATAACTGTGGAAAATAGTTTTGCCTTAAAATTAATTAAATAAACATAAAGACTGGATAAATAAATAAATTGTTAAATATGGACTCATTTGTGAAACTAAAATTAAATTCCAGATCTTAATTTCTAATAAGTAATAAGCTGAATTTGAAAATTAAAATTAAAAAACATAAAATGATACCCATGAATTATTAACTGTTTTGACTGAGTTAAAAAAAAACAAATTAAAATAATAAAATAATACATAGAACTACACAAAAACACAAAGAATAAAAACAAAAATCTAGTAATTAATTATAAATAATTTCACACATCAAACAATCAAAAATGTAAATATAAAACAATTATTAAACAAAAGCAAAGAATTAATCGGGCTCAGGGAAAATATTTCAGATAATTTAATTTTAAGGAAAATAATACCATTTAAATTACTATACAATCATCATCATCATCTAAATCAGCCTCTTAATAAATACCTTATATATATATATATATATATATATATATATATATATATATATATATATATATATATATATATATATATATATATATATATATATATATAAAATGTAAAATTGGTTTGCCTTAAGATTTATTGAATAAATGTAAATACTGGATAATTCAATAAATAACTAAATAAATAAATAAATAAATAAATGTTGTTTAATTTGGAATCATTTGTGACACTAAAATTTTATTTCAGATCTTAATTTCTTATAAGTAATAAGCTGATTTTGATAATTAAAATTAAAAACATAAAATGATACCCTTAAATTATTAACTGTTCTGACTGAGTTATAAAAAAAACTAATTAAAATCATAAAATAATACATATAATGACGCAAAAAATAACAACAAAAATCAGGTAATTAATTATAAATAATTTCACACATCAAACTATCAAAAATTAAAACATGAAACAATTATTAAACAACAGCAAAAAGTTAATCGGGCTCAATGAAAATATTATAGATAATTTAGCGTTGGGGGAAATCATACCATTTAAATTACTATAATCATCATCATCTTCATTATAATCAGCCTCCTTAATATTTACCTGTCTGTGGCTCTGCAGGAATATCAGTCACTTTGCTCTTGGCTGAAAAGGAGGATTTGACAGGAACAGGGAAGAATCCTCTCAGGAAAAGAGCGATGGACACAATCTCAAGTATGAGACACAATAAAGCAAATACTGAAGAGCTCAGCTTCATGATTAAGATCAGTAGCTGTCATCAATAACACTCCACACACTCATGAAAAAACACACGTCGAGAGTCCAGCCTGGGGCCTGATTCCTCACTGACCGCAAACAAATGACTTTTGACAGAAAATGCACTAAATCCACACGATTAATCAAGAATCTGCCGGATTAGTGTTTTGAATTTTCATTTCCGTGTTGTGACATGTGGGTCACGACGGCAACCCACAAGGCTCAATTCTTGCAGTGTTTGCGGACTCTTATTTTGTAATCAGAAGCAAAACATCTATGTAAAACATTAAAATAAATAAATAAATAAAGAAATAAATAAATAAAAAATCTATGTAAAACATTTTATTTGCATTTATAGTACATATGTTAAACTGTAAATACCTAAAATTGTATTACAGATCTTAGTAGATGACTAACAAAAATATTCATTTGTTTAGTTAAATCACATTTCAATTGGGAGAAGAAAAATTTACAGTATATTCTAGAATAATTAACTAAGTTAGTATTATTGTTGTAATATTATATAATTTAGCATTATTATATAATGTTTATCATTATTGTTGAATAATTATATTATTGAATATTAACTATAACTATAAAAATGTTCATTAGTATATTGCTATTTATATATAGTATACATAACATTGTGATGGCAAATATATAAATGCATAGACAAGCATGCAGAACAAACAGGCCTTTGTGTTTATCGATTAATAATAATAATAATAATAATAATAATAATAATAATAATAATAATAATAAAAGCATAACATTTGTGCTCTCAAATATGAAATTAAATAACTAAATTAAACCAGAAAATTTACTGAAAACACAAAAATGACATAAACCATTTTTGCTTGTGAACATAAATGCCTACAAAATAAAGAAATTAGATATGTGCTTTGGGTTTTCATAATAACGAAAAAATATTTGAGGGGAACCACATTCATAAAGCCAACAGAAAACATAAACACTTGAATAGTAAATATATAATAAAATACGAATAACAAGCGTCACAAGTGCTGTTTGTGAGGCCATCAACGGTTGTCATGGTAACACTTAGTGTATTTGGCGGCGCTTTATTTACTTTCTCCGCCGTAAGACACGCGTTTCTTTCTGTCTCTTTTTATCTGACTTTATTGTCAGAGAAAACCACAGTTCAGTGGAAAAAGAAACCCTGTTTGTTTTATTAAATGTTTCTGACTGACAGTAATAGTAAAGCGTGTTTGAAAGAAGTGATTTAGAGACAGCCGTTAGTAAAGCGTCGAGTGAAATGGACTGCAGTGAACTGGACTCGACGGAGAAAAGCAAACCCTCACAGCTCCTCAGAGCTATAAACCAGATTTATGAAGAAGGCAGAGAAGAGTCGAAGCATTCAGGTGAAGCAAAACTACGACATTTAACACAAAATTTGCTGCAGGTTTTATTTATCATAATATTTACGAACAATTTATGTTGCTTAACTATATATGGATGGGAAAAGTCCAAGTTAGACAAGTTTATATATATATATATATATATATATATATATATATATATATATATATATATATATATATATATATATATATATATATATAAACAAATTATAGAATGCTAATGAATTCAAGTGAAGTGTCTCTGTGTTAATGTTTTTATTTATTTTGTGTGGAAAAGTGCAAATATGAGTGAAATAATAATTTTCAACTACAAACATATATTTATGTAACCTTATAAAAACATAAGAAACCTTATGAAAGTTCTAAGTTTCTTTTTTAAGTTAAACGTAGAACTTGTATTCAATCTGTCGTTATCTAGATCAGTGGTTCCCAACCTGGGGTCCGCGCCCCCCTAAGGGGGGCGCCAAAGTTCACAGGGGGGGCGCGGGAGAGGATAAGTATTGAGGTAGAAAAAGGCATTAAAATGCTCCACTATTATAAAGGACTTTGCAATTAATCGAAAATCCAATTTAGATTTCGGTTTCAAACGATTATAAAAAAGCATTAATCGAGATAAATGGTTATTGCATCATATTTTGCCACGTTCCAGTTGTACACGTGTTGCTCTTAAAAGCGCGAAAGAGCTTATGTGTGTGTGCAGCACGATCACGCAGTCAGAAGCATGCGGCCGTTCAGCATTCACTCTCATTCACACACTGAGACGAGCAGAGGAGCGCAGACATCTAAAGTCATCTTAACGTGAGCGATTTAATGGTCAAATAGGTGTCAAAACGCGGTGTTTAGTGATTATTTACATTAACCTTCATTTGTGTAATAAACAAACGAGTTGAGGATCAAAAGACGTGAAAGAGAAACCATTAAAGAGACAGTGCGCTATAATCCTTCTGCCGGCTGTTTTTATCATTATTAAACAAACATAACAAGAAAACCCTCGCTGCTCTTGACTGAAGGACTGCTGTAGCTAAAGTGTTTTTGTTACAGTGAAGATGCTTAAAGCACAGTTTGTTTCATATTTTTATTTTATTCTATTGTATTTATTTCTCTTTCCTTTGCAGGGTGGAAAATAACTATGTATACAGTTGAAGTCAGAATTACAAGTCAGAACATAATAGTTTTGATATCTCATTTCTAATTACTGAGATTTCTTTTTGTCTTTGCTATAATGACAGCACATAATATTTTACTAGATATTTTTCAAAATACAAGCATTTAGATTAAAGTGCAGTTCAAAGGCTTAATTAGAGTAATAAGGCAAGTCATTATAACGGTAGTTTATTCTGCAGACAATCAAAAATATATATTGCTTAAGGGGGCTAATAATATTGACCTTAAATTGGTTTCAAAATATTTAAACCTTTCTTTATTCAAGCTAAAATAAAACAAATAGAAGAAAAAATATTATAGGAAATACTGTTAAATTTCCTTGCTCTGTTAAGCATAATTTGGGAAATATTTATAAAAAAAAAAAAAAAATCTCAGGAGCGCTAATAATTTTGACTTTAACTGGCAATGGTTTTAAATAATCGTGATTACAATTATGACCAAAATAATCGTGATTATGATTTTTCCCAAAATCGAGTAGCCCTACTATTATATATGTATTTTTAAGTACCAAAAAAAAAATCTAAACACATACTTAAAATTCCAACATAATAGTGAAAATAATTAAAATAAATAACTTTAAATAATTATTTAAATTTTGCTCACTCGCGCAATCTGCTTGTCAACGTGTCGTAAAGGCAAAATCAAAACAAAAATGGCAGACAAACGTAAATGCATTGATTCTTCAGAGGCGAAGAAAAAGATTAGACAGTATGACAAAGCCTACCTAGATTTTAGTTTTATTGAAGGCCAAGACAAGTTAAAACTGATTAATTAATATTTTCTATACATATTACTATATATTAATATTACACAAAAACACACACACACACACACACACACACACACACACACATATATATATATATATATATATATATATATATATATATATATATATATATATATATATATATACACAGTACATATGTGTGTGCGTGCGTGTGTATTTATATGGTGGGGGGGCTCCAATGTTTGTATATGTTCATGGGGGGGGCCCCAAAGAAAAAGGTTGGGAACCACTGATCTAGATCATTCATTCATTCACTTTCTTTTTGGCTTAGTTCCTTTAATCTGGAGTCGCCACAGTGGAATGAACCGCCAACTTATCCAGCATATGTTTTACACAGCGGATGCCCTTCCAGCCACAACCCATTACTGGAAAAAAACCCATACAACCTCCATTCACACATATACGCTACGGACAATTTAGCTTACCCAATTCACGTACAGCGCATGTCCTTGGACTTGTGGGGGAAACCTGGAGGAAACCCACACAAACACAGAGAGAACATGCAAACTCCACACAGAAATACCAACTGACTCAGCCGAGGCTCAAACCAGCAACCTTCTTGCTGTGAGGCGACATCGCTACCCACTGCACCACCACACCGCCCTGTTCTAGATCATATTCGCACAAAATAAAAATAAACAGTTGGTCAAAATACAGGGTGTCCGCAGGGTCTTAAATCTCAAAAGCTACATTTTAGTCCTTAAAAAGTCTTAAGTCTACTTAAGTATTGTGTTGTAGGTCTTAAATCTTTTGTTTAACACGTCTTAATTTTTCTTTGCATGTGTGTAGCTATCCAATCTAGCTCTCAAACAATCACCAACAATCCATCTCAATTAAATATTTACCTTTTTAAATAAAAAATAGCATTTAATTACTTTCTTACTGTAACATTTGTTTAAACTTTCTTCATTTCAAGAGTTCACTTAGATATTGTTTGACAAATGTTAGCAGGTTGGACATGCTGTCCCTGGAGAGAACCCTGAGCTCGGAGATAGTTGAGCCCAGGGCTCCTGCCTGAACGATAGAGCATGTAAGGGGAGCACAAGATCATGCGGTTCTCCAGAGATCCCTGTGGTAAAGGAGAAGGGGGAAAACGGGTTGATTGGGGGTGGGGGGGTGGGGGGGAGGGGGTTCTTTGGAAAACGAAGGTTAGGGAGTAGTTTTTGCTAGGCTTCTTATAGTGAGTTTGGAATAATCTGATTGGTGATATGACTGTCAGTCATATCATGTGATCCTCTCGAAATTTGTTTGTGAAACTTCATTTATTTACTACTGAAGATCCTGACCTGACCTTTTTATTATTAAATTTATATTAAATTATAATAATTTTTTGATAGGTCAAGTGAAAATCTTTTCCAACTGGGATATAAAAAAACAAAAAACCTTAGTGTTGTATAAGTCTAAAATTGTATTCATAATGGTCTTAAAAAAGTCTTAAATTTAACTTGGCAAAACCTGCAGGAATACACATTATATTTAGATTTATATTTATTATTTAATTTCAAATGTGACTATGACTATGACTATCTAAATCGGGGGTGACCAAACCTTTTCCTATAAAGGGCCAAAAAAGCTGATTGAGGAATGTGGGCCGAATATGTCCAAAACATATATATTAAATTCGCTATGGGTAATTGACAAATTTATTTGGTAATATTCAAAAATAACTAGAAAATGTTGGTTTAAACCAAATGAACTAATGCAGTATAATTTTTATGTTAAACATATTACTGTAAAAACATTTTTAAAATCCCATTTATAACACAATGGAGTTCAGTGCTGAATTCGAGCTGCTCCTGCCTGTGCTTTGATTTGCTCACAGATGTTGTATCTTGTGCCTCTATCTGTCAAGTGACAATATTTACATTTTAAAAGTCTGATTTGTTTACAACATTTAATTGAATCATGTAATTTTAGTTCTTGTAGCTCCACAATAAAACAAAGAAACAAGAGGTTACATTAAATTTGAAATGACGATCTCTGTCAAAGGCTTTTACCCCAACCACCTCTCTGTCGTTCTCCCTCTCTTTTCAGATGGCGAGCCAATTCAAAGGCTACCATGGGCCAACTTTGGCTCTACTTTTGGGCATCTCTGATCTAAATTATCAAGGTTTTTTTTTTTTTTTGTATTTGGGGCTGTAATCTTTCATTCTTTTAATATCTTTAATTATTTTGAATAATATGTCGTGAAAGTATTCTTGTTCTAAAATAAAAGAAAAATATACGAGATTAATCGTAATTTATGGGTAAAAAGTAAAGTATTTATTGTTTTAATGCTCGAATGTTTTCCATATCCATTTAATTTAATTTACAGTAGTTTAAGCAGAGACCAATGCTGCATCAGTGGAGAAAACGGTGAAAGTGAAAGCAAACAGGAGATTTACACACAGCCCCAAATACTAAAAGAGTACTACCGTGGGCCAACTTTGGCCCTACTTTTGGGCATCTCTGATCTAAATTATCAGGGTTTTTTTTAGTATTTGGTGCTGTAATCTTTCATTCTTTTGATATCTTTAATTATTTTAATTAATATGTCGTAAAAGGCTTATTGTTCTGAAGTAAAAGAAAAATATACAAGATTAATTAAAATTTATGGGTGAAAAGTAAAGTTGTATTTACTGTTTTAAAGCTCAAATGTTTTCCATATCCATTTAGTTTAATTTAAGCAGAGACCAATGCTGCATCAGTGGAAAAAACGGTGAAAGTGAAAGCAAACAGGAGATTCCAGGGATCAACGCTAAGGATTTTTTTCTACTGGCCCGATCGGACCAGTGGTTCAGATTTTTACTTGCCCTGCCAATATTGCCACTGGCCCCACCAAAAAAAGTTAATAGCTATTACTTAGCCACAAATAAAAAAAAAAAAAGTTAAAATGTTTGTAAATCTAGAATTATAATATTTAAAAAAGTGCTTTGCAAACAAAAATAGCAAAATGTGCAGGTATTTAATTGCAAAACAAAGGATGACTGACCTGCCGAACTAACCGCAAACTGTACAAAACATCACTTTTTTTTTGTCGTGGTGTACCCTCGTAAATGTCTGCTTCCAAGACGTTAGAGACAAATGTTTTCCTTTAGCATCATCCCTTGATGTTGCCGCCATGCTGCTGTCTCTTAGCTGTACTGGTTGTTACGGAAAAAAATAACATGCTCACAACATCCAATCAGATAAGAGGAACCGAGAAGGTAGCATTTGAAGGCCTAAAAACACAAACGGTTACTCTATTCTGACTGTATTTGCATGCAATTGACAAATAGTCACAGGCAAATTAAACTTTAATGACAGGGTATTTGTGGCCTGATCGGGCCAGTAAGGATCCTGTCTACTGTCCCAAGCATCTCACACGCTGGCCCCGGGCCATCCTTATTGTTGAGCTCTGGATTCACACACAGCCCCAAATACTAAAAAAGTACTACCGTGGGCCAACTTTAGCCCATATTAAAAAGTACTACAGTGGGCCAACTTTGGCCCTACTTTTGGGCATTTCTGATCTAAATTATCAGGGTTTTTTTTTTTTTTTGTAGTTGGGGCTGTAATCTTGCATTCTTTTAATATCTTTAATTATTTTAATTAATATGTCGTAAAAGGATTATTGTTCTGAAGTAAAAGAAAAATATACGAGACTAATTGTAATTTATGGGTGAAAAGTAAAGTTGTATTTATTGTTTTAATGCTCGAATGTTTTCCATATCCGTTTAATTTAATTTAAGCATAGACCAATGCTGCATCAGTGGAGAAAACGGTGAATCTGCTGAAAGAGAAAGCAAACAGGAGATTCACACACAGCCCCAAATACTAAAAAAGTACTACCGTGGGCCAAATTTTGGGCCTACTTTTGGGCATCTCTGATCTAAATGATCAGGGGGAGGTTTTAGTATTTGGGGCTGTAATCTTTCATTCTTTTGATATTTTTATTTATTTGAATTAATTTGTCGTAAAAGGATTATTGTTCTGAAGTAAAAAAAATTTTATATATATACAAGATTAATTGTAATTTATGGGTGAAAAGTAAAGCTGTATTTACTGTTTTAATGCTTGAATGTTTTCCATTTTTATTTAACTTAATTTAAGCAGAGACCAATGCTGCATCGGTGGAGAAAACAATGAATCTGCTGAAAGAGAAAGCAGAAACAGGAGATTCACAAGCCACCTTCCTCCTGGGACAGTTACACTATGTGCAGGTGATGGTCATACTCTACATTACAAGATAGAATGGTGGGAGAATGAGTTTTTTTTTGCCTCAGACAGGCAGTAGATTCATTCATGATGGTTTGGTGATGTTCACAGTTGTGTCTGTGTTCCTTTAGGGCTGCTATGCTGAAGCAGAGCTCATCTTTGACAGAATTAAAGATAAAGATCCTCAAGCTCTCTATCAGCTCGCTGTCATATACTACGATGGCCTTGGAACCAAAGAAGACCTTGTGAGGAACTTATTGATGTTATGAACTCTACAGTAAATCATATAAAAAACATGCTAAGAGCAAGCAAATGCAATTATCAAAGCCTGTATGTGATATATTAATGCCATCAAAACAGCAATAATAATACAATACAATATTCACTTTAAAGGGATAGTTCACCTAAATTTAACAATCATTCCAAACCTGATTGAGTTTCTTTCCTCTGTTGAACACAAATGAAGATATTCTGAAGAATGTTGGCAAAAACAGCCATTGACCTCCATAGTATTTTTTTGTTTCTATGGATGTCAATGGCTGCTTGTTTTCCAACATTCTTCAGAATATCTTCATTTGTGTTCAACAAAAGAAGGAAATTCATAATTTTAAAAGCACTTGAGTGAGGAAATTCCATTTTTGGCTGAACTGTCCCTCTAAGTATTTCCTAATTATTTATTAGTATTTACTCATAGCTTGATTGAGTTTTTATTAGTATTAGAAATGTTGTTAAATAGAAGTTAAAATAAGAAAAATGTCCTTTATATATATATATATATATATATATATATATATATATATATATATAAGAACATTTTAATAAATAGCAAGACCAAATAACTATAAATAAATATTATAACAAATATACAAGTGTGCACATCAGTGCGTAATATTGTTCTGCTTATTTTGCATGCACCAAAACATCACAAAGATTTCCTTACTTTGTGCTATTATAATTAAAGATGAATGCCATTTTTATTATTGTATACATATACATTTTATTATTAAAGCTAAATCTTTATTGTCGTAGTTATAATCCTTAATGTAAACAGGCTTAATGGATGTCTATATGTAAACTTTAACAGGGCAGAGCAGTGGAGTACATGGGAAGAGTTGCATTCTGGGATTCGTCTGAAGCGGGCTCTGTCAGATACGCAGCGCTGTATAACCTCGGTCAGGCGTATCTGGAGGGTTTTGGGGTGCAGGCGTCCAGCAGTGAAGCGGAGCGGTGAGAAATAATCAGCAAAACCTCACTGACAAGTCGTCTGTGCATTAAAGGGGTCATAACATGGGTTTTTAATTTACACTAAAAATGGATAGATATGCTGGAAAAACTATTGATTTCAACCCTCATTCTGACTCTGTTTGTGAAGAGGTCTGGATTGCAGATTTGATTTTGACAACATCTATATGAAACCATCATTCACAGACAAAGCATTATTAGGGTATCCATGGAGTCTTAAAAAGTCTTGAATTCACTGATATATATATTGTGTTCTATGTCTTAATTGTGAACAGGACTTTATTTTCCTCTGTCTAAGTAAAGCTACTCAATCAGGCTGACATCCATCCAATCGCCAACAATCCATCTTAATAAAACCAGGTGAAAAAACTAAAAACAATTACACAATTCCTCATAATAACAGAGCAATTTATCTCTTTACGTTATCTTCCATTCATATAAAAACTTTTACAGAATGGGGAGTAGACATAATATTTACAAATAGAGATGAAAGTTAAGGTTTTCTAAAAAAAAAAAAAAAATGCATTAGGTTGAATAGAAGTTATACTCAATCAATTTGGACCAAAAGCCAACAAATATATATTTTAAATTATTTATGTAATTGCCTCCACAATAAATATACTTTTAACAATGCTAAACTTGTCATTGAATTAAAAATATATATATATATTACGTTGAAAATAGTGTATATAACTAGTTTTCTTGTTTTGATGTCACTGAGATATAATAAAATATCTTTTTTTTTTTTTTTATGTGGCAAGCAATCTGTCCAACCGTGCCATTAAAAATAATCATAATGGTCTTAAAAGGGTCTTAAAAAGTCTAAAATTTGACTTGATGAAACCTGCAGAAACCCTGATTATGTAATTAATAACTTAAATATAATTGACATATGTAACCTTTGTGTATTGTTTCAACTGACTCCCATTTTATTATGTTGGTGGCTGTTGTTGTCCCATTGACTTCCATTATGATGACTTTTTTGATATTTAAAGCCATGACTCCATATAATCATGCATTCTCGATTGTTGGTGGCTTTCCCTATTGGGAAGAGGTCAAATATGTTCTTTTTACTGTTGATCATCAGTTTCCATCATTAACGCTTAGGATAGGCCTGTGTAAAAAAAAAATAATAATATATATATATATATATATATATATATATATATATATATACACATATATATATACATACACACATATACATAAATATATATATATATATAAAACATATACACACACACACACACACACACACACACACACACACACACACAAACATACACACACATATATATATATATATATATATATATATTTCTAAGCATAATAGTTTTAAAAACTCATTTCTAATAACTGATTTATTTTATCTTTGCCATGATGACAGTAAATAATATTTTACTTGATATTTTTCAAGACCCTTCTATACAGCTTAAAGTTCAACTAGGTTAATAAGGTGAACTAGGCAGGTTAGGGTAATTAGGCAAGTTATTGTATAATGATGGTTTGTTCTTTAGATTATTGAAAAAAAAAATAGCTTAAAGGGGCTAATAATATTGTCCCGAAAATGTTTTTAAAAAAATTAACACAGTTTAAAGATAAACCATCCACTTGTCCCTGATACTGAGGTCCTCCTGAAGTGTGAAGACAGATGCAAACGCAATAAAGAGAAAGTTCTTCAATCTTCAGTTTGTCCTGTTTATCAGGCATGTGGAGAACATCAGAAACTAAAACTGAATCTTTATATGATATCCAATGTAAAAAGCAGAAGTGATTGTAATTATATACTGTACCCATGCCATGTCAGTTTACATCTTGATTAAAAAAATGCTTTGCTTAGTGTATAACAAGGACTTTTACAGGGATAGTTCACCCAATAATGAACATTTCCTCACTATTTACTCACTCTCAAATGGTTCTAAATCTTTATGAATTTCTTTCATCTGTTGAACACAAAAGAAGATATTTTGAAGAAAGCTGAAAACTTGTAATTATTGACTTCCATAGTAGGAAAAACAAATGGTAACCGGTTTCCAGCATTTTTCAAAATATCTTCTTTTGTGTTTAACAAAAGAAAGAAACAGATAAAGGTTTAAAACAAGTAAAGGGTGAGTAAATGATAGCAGAGTTAACATTTCTGAGTGAACGATCCCTTTATGAATGTTTAATGGACGTCTTATATTTCAAAAAATCAAGAGCAATTTGATTGTGAACCGTTAAATGGGAAGAACATGTGAAGAGTGTGTGTGTTTCTCACAGACTTTGGCTCCTGGCAGCTGACGATGGAAACCCGAACGCCAGTGTGAAAGCGCAATCCGCTCTGGGCATGTTTTACAGCAGACCCGAGAGCCTCGACCTCAGAAAGGTGCTGAAATCACTGAAAACATCACACATCATCAGAGAAAACTTGACTTTCTTTTCAGTGTTCGTGGTCATAAAACGCATAGGATCAGATTCTTTTTTTTTTGGCAATATACTACTGTATACAATACAATTACATAACATATAGCAATCTGATATCATGTGAACTGTGTGTGTATGTACAGGTATGCAAATATAGAATTTGACACACTTGGAAATCCTCCTGTGAGGAAAGTAATGACACCCTATTATATTGATTTTTAATACTTCACACTTACTTTACTCCCATAATTCACATAAAGCATCATAGGGTGTAATTAAAAGCTGGATAAAGCCCTATTAATGCAAGTGTGTTCTCTCCTCAGGCGTTCTTCTGGCACTCACAGGCGTGTGGTAACGGCAGTCTGGAGTCTCAGGCGGCTCTGGGCCTGATGTATCTGTATGGTCACGGTGTTCAGCGGGACTCAGACTCGGCTCTGTTCTGCTTGAAGGAGGCAGCAGAAAGAGGGAGCGTCTACGCTCAGGGTCACCTCACGGCCTGCTACTACCGCAGACAGCTCTACTCCAGAGCCGCCGCTCTCGGCCAGAGGTATGGCACAAACCATTCTGAAGAGCAGCGCTCTGATTTACACGTGAACTCAATCATGCTCTGCTTTGACTTTCAGAGTGTGCGAATACAAGGACACGGCTGCTATAGCGCAGCAAACAGACTGTCTGGAGGAGTACGTCAGGAAGGGCATTGCTATAGGCATGTTTTATTACGCTCGCTGTCTTCATCTGGGCAGAGGAGTCCCGCAGAACAGAGACAAGGCAAAACACTACTGCACACAGGTACATTTCCTCTCACAATTAGCAGAATCGGGAGATGTTACTCCTTTCTTTCTTTCTCAGAAACGTCATTTTGCACAGGTCATGGGATTTTCTGAAAAGATCTAATCCAGGTATTGAAAGTCAGGTGGCTCAGTGGTTAGCGCTGTCACCTCCCAGCAAGAAGGTCGCTGGTGCGAGTCCCAGCTAGCATTTCAGTGTGGAGTTTGCATGTTCTCCCCGTGTTGGTGTGGGTTTCCTCTGGGTGCTCCCCACAGTCCAAACACATGCGCTATAGGTGAATTGGATGAACTAAATAGGCCGTAGTGTGTGAGTGTGTGTGTGAATTTGAGTGTGTATGGGTGTTTCCCAGTACTGGCTTGTGGCTGGAAAGGCATCTACCGCAGGTTCAGGGCGACGCAGTGGCGCAGTGGGTAGACCGTTCGCCTCACAGCAAGAAGGTCGCTGGGTCGCTGGTTCGATCCTCGGCTCAGCTGGCGTTTCTGTGTGGAGTTTGCATGTTCTCCCTGCGTTCGCGTGGGTTTCCTCCGGGTACTCCGGTTTCCCCCACAGTCCAAAGACATGCGGTAAAGGTGAATTGGGTAAGCTCAATTGTCCGTAGTGTGTGTGTGTGTGTGTGTGTTTCCCAGAGATGGGTTGTGGCTGGAAGGGCATCTGCTGCGTAAAAACTTGCTGGATAAGTTGGCGGTTCATTCCGCTGTGGCGACCCCGGATTAATAAAGGACTAAGCCGATGGAAAACGAATGAATGAAAGTCAGGGATATTCCGTATCATGACATATCAGCAATTTTATCTAAATGTTTTTTTTTTCGATACTTTCGATCATGTTGGTTTGTTTTACTTTAATCCTTTTCCACTTATCAACCGGTAATCAAATGCAGTGCAGCTCTTAATATACGGTATGTGGCTGTTTTTTGTCTGCTCAGTGCTCAACCAGTCCATCCTGGATATTATAAGGAAAATGTCTTAAAATTGGTCTAAAAAATGGCCTAAAATCACAGATTTTGTGATGATTTTTCTCCAAAATTTGCTGCATTTCATGTTTATTTTTTGTTTTTGTTTAGTTTTTTGCTGGGAAAATATAAATAAATTAGCATGTCTTTAGCAAACAAAACAAATTGCAAACTCTGAACTAGAGATCTGCGCGGGACAAAAAGTTGAATCCCACCCGCTCCCGCCATGTTTTAGTCAGAACCCGACCGCTCCCGCTTATGTTCAGCATTCGTTGTCCCACTGCCCGATTTGCCCCGTTTTCTGCGGTGGGGTGGTGGGGGGAGGGGGGGGGTCGATGGAATGCTGCGAATGCTGAACACATACACACATAGACACACAGCGCCAAGCAAATGACACAAACAGGGAGTCGGAAGCGATATTGTTATATATTCCCGCACCGCAAGACATCTTGTCGGGTCCCGCGCTACAGCCGGGGGAATGCAGACCTCTACTCTGAACAATGACTTCAGGTCAACTATAATCTGAATTTATTCATTCATTCATTTTCTTTTCGGCTTAGTCCCTTTATTAATCCGGGGTCGCCACAGTGGAATGAGCTGCCAACTTATCCAGCACGTTTTAAGCAGCGGATGCTCTTCCAGCCACAACCCATCTCTAGGAAACATCCATACACACTCATACACTACGAACAATTTAGCCAACCCAATTTACCTGTACCGCTTGTCTTTGGACTGTGGGGGAAACCGGAGCACCCGGAGGAAACCCATAGCCAAGACTAGAACCAGTGACTTTCTTGCTGTGAGGCGAAAGCACTACCCACTGTGCCGCCCTATATTTTAAAATCAACACTGCATATCCTATGATGTGACAATTGTGGATGCGTACATTGTGATTAATCCGCTTGTTAATAGCGATCTCGCGTGAAGTGGCTTCCGGGTCCAAGTGCCGGGTCAAACTGTATGGGGAGACTCATCGAATGGTAATAATAAACATTTACAAAGCGATTTAATACTTTCAAAAATCACAATTGTAGAATATATCCATGCCTAATATCTGATGGCCAGAAACTGATTAATTTTTTATAAATTGTTAAGATTTTGGTATTTGTGATGCAGCAAGTCCAGAGACTGATTTGTACACAATTATTTTATATAAAATTCACTTTAATCTCTGATAAAAAGTGATCATAAACAAAAAGTTTCTCAATTCAAACAAGTAGTGGCTTGGACCCGGAAACAGTATTCCATACGTCACGACTCATCAAGCGAATAATGGCTCTGTTGTTTTCTATGCAGAATTTAAACTGATGTTGTGTCTGCAGCATTAGTGGTGTTATTTGATTGGTGTATTAGTGCCTCTTGAGTTGTGTGATTTGTCATTTCTGCTCCTCAAGGCTGTCAGGATTGATCCACTCATCTGTAAAGAGCTGCAGATTGATGCTGCGCATGGAAAAATATGAACGCAACCACTATTAATCTCCCAGGTGAAAATGATGACGGCTCTGGACACTCAGTATTTTTAAATTGCTGCTTGTGATGATACAATGAAATGTTTAGTATGATTTTAGTTACACTCTTATCTTACTCTAGTACGGGGACCAGCTCTCACTTAAATAGTTAGTTGTTATTAGTTCTTATAAAGCACATATTATTAATATTATTATTAATAATAATAAGTTATTAATAATAAGTTTTCTGAGGTGGTTAATAATGAATGTGTTTCTCTTTCTTTCTTTCTTTCTTTCTTTTATTTTTTATCTAAAATGCATATACCAACTATTTTCATATTTGGGTTTTAAGTTTTTGACCAAAAAACGTTTTGCTTATATCTCAATAAATGTACACACAATAAAAAAATCACTTGTAACCATTATAATTTAAGGTGTGTGTGTGTGTGTGTGTGTGTGTGTGTGTGTGTGTGTGTGTGTGTGTGTGTGTGTGATTAAAAATATACTTAACAAATTTTTTTAAAGAAATAAAATAACAAAAACTCAATCAAAGGACTACAGCTGTCACTAAAATTGTGGAATTGAGGAAGAATAAAATATAAAAATAAAATAAAAAACTTATTCAAATATATTACTAGCTTCAATTATTAAAATAACAGATTTTGAAAATAATTATTAAAAAAGATTAATTTAAATATAGATTTAAATTTAAATGACTTAAATTTCTAAATATAAAGTGTTGCTAATATCTTAAATAAATATGCACACTATTATTATCACTTTCAACCACTATTATTCAAGAAGTGTGTGTTTGTGGGATTAAAAATAGAGAGAGTAATAATTAGAAGTTAGAGTACAAAATAATTCTAAAAACTAAACAAAAAAAGGTCAAACATGTTATTACAGCGTCACAAAAGATTTGGGATTGTGGAAAAATATAAAATTAAAAGCTAAATTCAAATAAATAAATTGTTTGAATAAAAACATTATTTATTGCGTTATAAATTACAATAATTGATTTGAAAATAATTTATTAACTGTTCATTTGAAAAGGATTTATGAATGATTAATTTAATAAATTTCAAGATATAAACAAACAAATGATTAAAGTTCAAAATATGAATGGCATTTTACTGCATGCATATATATATATATATATATATATATATATATATATATATATATATATATATATGTATATATGTATGTATATGTGTGTGTGTGTGTGTGTGTGTGTATATATATATATAGTTGAAGTCAGAATTATTAGCCCCCTTCAAAAAATTTTCCTATTTATTACTTTTCAAATATTTCGCAATTGATGTTTAACAGAGCAAGGACATTTTACAGTATGTCTGAAATATTTTTATATGATATTAAAAACAGTTTTTAACACCATTTTAAGGACAAAATTATTAGCCCCTTTAAGCTATGTTTTTTTGATAGTCTACAGAACAAATCATCGTTATACAATAACTTGTATACCTGCTTAGTTAACCTCATTAACCTAGTTAAGCATTTAAATGTCACTTTAGGCTGTATAGAAGTGTCTTGAAAAATATCTAGTCAAATATTATTTACTCTCATCATGGCAAAGATTAAATAAATCAGTCATGTGTAGAAAAAATCTTCTCTCCAATAAACAGCAATTGGGGAACAAATAAACAAGCGGTCTAATAATTCAGACTTCAACTGTATAAATAAATATATATATTATATCTCATCCAAAACCTTTCTGTTTCAAATTTGATTTTTGATAAAGTAATTTAAAATAACTGAAATCATTAAGCATAGTGATATAGAACTGTAATGCAGTCAACAACTACTTTGGCTGTGTGTTATATGAAAACAACTGCACACCTACAATGTCCATTAGCCAATCAGAATCAGGCGTTTAACAGCTCAGTAATATCCACGTATGCTACTTTATTTCAAATGATGGGTTGCACTTCTGCTTTGGAGATCTTAAAGCAAAAATAACGGAAACAAATCCCTTCAGGGCGACACAGTGGCTCAGTGGTTAGCACTGTCGCCTCACAGCAAAAAGGTCGCTGGTTCGAGTCGCTGGGTCAGTTGGTGTTTTTTGTGTAGAGTTTGCATGTTCTCCCCGTGTTGGCATGGGTTTCCTCCAGGTGCTCCGTTTTCCCCCACAGCACTCTAGTTCAATTGGATGAACTGAATTAACTGTAGTGTGTGAATGCGAAAGCTTGTATGGGTGTTTCCCAATACTGGCTTACGGCTGGAAGGGCATCTGCTGCGTAAAACATTTGCTGGAATAGTTGGCGATTCAGTCTACTATGGCAAACCCTGATAAATAAGGGACTAAGCCGAAGGAAAATGCATGCATGAATATATGCATATATTAAACATTAGATTGAAGACGCGACACGTGACAGTTCTTTTGCAATTTATTGCTTATAAATGCTCTAGTCTAATTTTGGTAAAAATAAAATTCTATAATAATAACAATATTAATAATAATATCACAAACAGAACCTTCACAATAACTGTACATGACATATTGCACGATTAAAAGCTTTGATAATGGTCACAATGATGTATAGTGAGTTTCCAGAGGTCTGGCCTCTTCTTTATACAGGTGTGTAACACTCATTCCATCGTATTTTTCACATTACAGAAGAGAAGACGAAAGAAAATCAGAAGGTGACGAGTGGCAGTGGATCTGACCTGCTCCCCCACAACACATTCAAGCACACCGGGTGATTCCTGACGCAGGAGATCCAGCAGAAACAAACCTCCAGCCTTCAGGTCTGAACAGCCTCCACACTCAGCTCAGCATAGAGCTCTTTCACCAGCATCTCCAGCAACATCTGCACAAAACAAGACAATATCATCATCCATATGTTCATTCCTTACTCCACCACCAGATGGCGCTACAGCCTCATCTTTTCATTAAAGCTAGTGGTGAACTGGAGTAACCTACACTGTAAACAATGCTGGCGTCCACACAATTCCTTCATACTGTCACAACACAGACTAGTTGTACATAATTAAGCAGATAATACAATTAAGCTGTCTGGAAAAGAAAATTGGGTTGTATTAGTAATATTATGCTAAAGAAACATGTTTGTTATGATTATTAATCTCAGCCTTTAATAAATGAGCAGAAAAGTCATTTGAGAGGCAGAGAAAAATAATAAAATTCACCAAAGAGTAGATATTCTCCGAATAAAGTGTGCTGATGAATTACACATAAAACAGAGGCATTTGTCAAGAAAGCAAATAGACCCTTTACACCTTTCCGGGTTCCTCTACAGCAGAATTCGTCATACTTGGGTAAACTCAGAGCACAGTGAATGGGAGAGTACAACAAATATTTTTTTTTTTTACAATCGTATTTGCTGAAATAATATAAGAAAAACTCTTTGATAGTGTTATCAAGACTTTGAGAAAAAGGGGAGCAATACTGTGAGACAGAGGGGAGAACAACGTTAAATTTACTCTTAGCCTCATAGACGCTGCATTACAAACACCTCGCATTTGAAGTAATTAGTTTTCTGTAATTTGACGCAAAGATGATATAATACATACAGAACTGCATATAAATGTTTATACGGTTTTTAAAATCAAAATATTAAACACTTTAAACACTTATGAAAAGGTTCCATAGGGGTGAGTCAGTTCATAGGGCCGATCTTCATTCTGCCTTCAAATAAACAGTAAATAAGCCTAAATAATAAGGTTTATTCTGCCTTTTGTATTGTATTGTATTTTCTATTTAATGCCATGTCAGCAACCAATGCTATTTTCATGGCAGGAACCTTTCAACAATAAATATACAAAATTAAAAATCAACAAACAAAAGAATACATAAATTAAATACGATTTTAAGTGTTGATGCATGATAAAAATTCTCAAATCTTTTCTGGTTTCACTTTGTTAAAAATGTCCTTAAAAGAGTTCATTTCAGAAGTCTTCTGGAATCAGTAAAACGGGGGCGGGGCGGAGGATCGCGATGCCAGTGTTGTCTATTGGACGAACTCTTAATACGTACATAGCAAAGCTTGCAAAGCTGTTTTTTTTGTTGTTGTTTTTTGGTTGTTTTTTGACAACAACTCACTGGAAATCCAAAATGCTTCCACACCGGCGACTTCATAGAAAGAGGAGAAGGTTTAAGCTCTGTCGACGGGTCTCCTGCGTCTGCAGTTTAACAAGCACTTTAACAAGCGTGTTTTTTCCCGCTTGGCAAGCCAAGCTGACGTGACATGGGGGCGTGGCAGCATCAACGATTCTATTCTTTGATTCGATAATCGAAATTCAGCATAAATTTCGATCGATTTCGATTTAAAATCAAAATCGTGACACCCTTAGTGATAAAACAGATTTTGTAATTGATGAACTTTAGTTAAAATATTATCAATCAAAGGATGATCATTCTTTGAAGATTCCATAACTTGTAGGCATGATTTAGAGTCTCTAAAAATGATAGATTTCTTTTGTTGGACATTTTCTATATACTCCAAAGCTAAAAGTAAAGCGTGGGCTTCAGCTGTGAATATGGAGCATTCTTTAGGCAGACTGATTCCATAACGTTGTTGTCCAGTTACCATTGCTGCTGCTACACCATTTTCCACCATTGAACCATCTGTAAAAATAGGCGAGTGCTGAGGGCATTGGCTTCTAATATCCAAATATTGTTGTCTGTAAACATTAGGATGAGTTACTCCTTTCTTCTAATGCAGTGGTTCTCAAACTGTGGTACGTGTACCACTAGTGGTACGCAGGCTTCCTTCTAGTGGTACGCGGAGGAATAAAATATGTCATGTACATGCTACATATATTTCAAAATTTAGCAAAAAATATGTATATAATATTCCATATATGACTTATAGCCTATATTTCTGAGGTAATCTGCCACGTTTTTTTTTAACTGTGCTGAGTTACTTTACGCTACTTTATTTCAATACTGCTCATTTTGGTGGTACTTGGGGAGACAATTTTTTTCTGAGGTGGTACTTCATGAAAAAAATTCGAGAACCACTGTTCTAATGTTCTAAATCCATATTGATTATGGGCTTCTTTAGAGTCCAATGAGGCAGGGCACTGAAATGTATTTGACTTAATATGTCCAGGTTTATGTTTACATTTTGTAGATGTGGATTAATGCGCACTTATTCTGCCTTTTGCACAGACCCAGATGTGCGGTGTGTGAAGTGTGTTTTGAGCAGAAAGCAGAAGTGTGAGCGTCAGCTGGCAGAAAGTGAACGCCTTAGAGATATAAATAGAGTGTCGGTTTGCAGACTCACGTAGAGTAGATGTCTGTTAGCGCTGCTCTCCTGAAGGGCATTGAAGATCTTGATGATGCCGTATCTGGCGTTCTGCTGCCCCACCAGATTCTGAAGAGCATCTACACAGCAAACACACAAACTCTGATGTCAGAATAATCTCTATGAAGCATAATATCACTATATATAGCAAATATTTGATTCTACTATTCGGTTAAGTCCGCATCGACCAGAAATTGCTGTTTTTTATTTCTTTATTTTTTCAATGGCGATGCAGTTCCCTGAGAAACAGAATATTAGGGGGGGGTATAAAGAATATAAAGGTGACCGGTACCGACCCGTACCATACTGTACCACTCAGTGGAAACGGGCCATTAGGGAGTTGCCATAGAAACAGGTAATTTGCCTTGTGAACGTGAACAGCTCTTAATCTCTAAACAGCACACTGCAATTACAGTGATTATGGAGACCACCAATGGCCAACCGCAGGTCATGTTTGCTTTTGGATTTTCCCAATATAATGCATATTGTGAAATAACACGTGTGACCTTCTCGGCGGGGGAACTGTCCTGTATGTTCACCTGGGATGTTGTCTAGAAGCTTCTGCTGCGCTCTCTCCTTGGTTTCTCTGCGTTCGCTCTCACAGCGGCTTTTGTTATGAGGCGCCAGTTTTCCGTTGGGCCAAAATGTGTCCCGGAAAACATTGATGTAGTAAACCATCATCTGCTCACTGAAGATCCAGTTTACAGTGTCTCTGATCTGCCTGCGGAGCAAGAGAGAGACAGAAAAGTGTTCAATGCCCAGCAAGTTTCCATCAGAGTTTCCATTACGCACATCCATTAAAGCTTACTTGTTTATAGTGCGTCCAAAAGTGACCTGAACTAGTGCAATTAGTGTCTTCCTCACCCACTTGAACACTGCAGAGAGAAGAAGACGCTTTAATATCAATCATCAAGACACATTTTATTAGCAAATGATCATATTAGCATGATTTCCAATCAGATTTGTAGACAATTAAGCTTTGCATTACACGAATATACTAGATGAGTACAATATTAAATAAAACTTTAGATAAAGTGGCTTGAGGTTTGAAGGTTTTACTCAAAGAAAGTCAGTTAACCTTTTGCAAGCATGTTTAAACAATTGCATGGATTAACATTTCTAGCTTGTTTTAGCCATTTAAAATGCACGGTAAGTATACAACATTAATACAGTTGTTGCTAGATCAAGATCGGAAGTTAACGAGAATTATTTTTATTATTTATTAAATTTCCCATTTATTGGATTTTATTAACATTTACCTCCACCCCAACCCTAAACCCAAGCGTCAAAATTTGCTACAACCGCAATAATCAAACCCTTGGGAACAACTGTTGTCGGAACCAAAGTTCGCAGGTTTGTGTTCTCTGGACTCCTCTCAAGAGGTGGACTTCTACATTCTGATTGCTTGCCGAATCGTGTCACGGCTCATTACCATAAAGTTGACTTGACTTCAACTCTCCTCAATGCCCACACTGGCTCCTCGCCACTTACTGTCATCGGCTCCCATTGAAAATGAATGACTTCGGGCTACTTTGACGCTCTCGCCGCTTTCGGTGTGAACGTACAGTTACAAACTTATCCACAGCAGAAATAAAGTCAACGTTTGAGCATCAGATTTGTAATACTCCACATGAGTGAACATCTACTCACTGCCCCTGAGTTCAAAGATCTCTCCGATCAGCATGAAGCAGGGCTCGGCCAGCGCGTCTTTCTTGCCGTCCGGCTCATCGCCATAGTCTGAGAGATCACTGTCATCTTCAGCTTCATCCTGACACACACACAATCAGATTCTGTGTCTGTCTGTGTCGAATCTGATGCTCTTAAAAATGCAACTAAACATTAATTTCATATTAGGGTATAAAGTACATTGTGAACATGTTTGTTTGTGTCTGTGTGTCTCCATGTCTGATGCCGCGTTCACACTAGCAGCGACTTTGTAGCTGCCTGTCGCTCTGGGTGGCAAACGCAGGTCTGTGTAGGTCTATACAGCACGAACACAACCAGCCTCTGAGTGAGCTGAGAGAGGATCACATGAGCTCTACTGGTGCTCCTATTGGCTGTCACTCAAAAAAGTCGCTCTTCATTTGCATATAGTTAAAGGATTCCTAAATGTCGGCCATCTGGTCGCCAATGGTCATAGACTGAGGTCGCCAGAAGTCGCACACCCTCTGTTAAGATTTTACGTTTTGTCAGTTTAGTGGCTAATTCGTACGAAAATGTACGATTTTATAAAGGAGGCGTGGCACCTAACCCCACCCCTAACCCCAACCGTCATATGGTGATGAGCAAATTGTGCTAAATTGTACAAACTAGATCAGACGAAATCATACGAATTAGCCACTAAAGCAAAAAGTTACGAATTGCTGTGAGATTGCGTTGGATGAACGGTCGCTTGTAGTGTGAATGAGGCTTGAGTGTGTGTAAGTGCCTGTGTGTCTCTGAGAGTCACTCAATGTGTGTGCACGTATGTCATGCGCGTGTGTCCCTGAGTGTCTCTCCATGTGTGTGTACGTGTCTTTGAGTGCTTCTACATGTGTGTGTATGTGTGTGTGTGTCTCCGAATGTCTCTCCATAAACATGTGTGTGTGCTTATGCATCTGAGTGTCTCAGTGAATGTGTGCATGTGCTTGTGTGTGAATGAGTGAGACAGTGTATGTCTGTGTCTATGTGCATGTGTCTGTGCGATGTGTTGTGTTTGTGTGTGCTTGTAGCTGTGAGTCTGCACAGTATGTGTGTGTTTTTCTGAGTGTCTGAATGAGTATGGGTGTGTGTCTGTGATTGTACAGTATATGCATGTATGTGTGTGTGTGTGTGTGTGTGTGTCTGTGAGTGGGTTTATATGTTTTGAGGGTGTGTGTGTAAGTGTGTTTATATATGAGTGTCTGAATGTGTGTGTGTTTTATATATACGTGTGTGTGCTTATATCTGTGAGTGTCTGCACAATATATGTGTGTGTTTTAAGAGTGTCTAAATGAGTGTGTGTGTGTCTGTGAGTGTACAGTATATGTGTGTGTGTGTGTGTGTGTGTGTGGCTGTAAATGGATTTATATGTTTTGTGTGTGTGTGTGTGTGTTTTATATATATATATATATATATATATATATATATATATATATATATATATATATATATATATATATATATATACACGTGTGTGTGCTTATATCTGTGAGTGTCTGCACAGTATATGTGTGTGTTTTGAGAGTGTCTGAATGCATGTTTGTGTGTGTGTGTGTGTGTGTGTGTGTGTAAATGTTTATATATAATATATATGTAATGTGTGTTTGTGTGTGTGTGTGTTTGTGTGTGTGTGTATGTATGTGTCTTTTTGAGTGTGTTTTGTAGATACCTGTGTATGTGTGTGTGTGTGCTTGTATCTGTGAGTGTCCGCATGGTTTATGGGTGTGTGTCTGTAAGTGTACAGTATGTGTGTGTGTGTGTGTGGCTGTAAATGGATTAATATGTTTTGTGTGTGTGTGTGTGAGAGTGTGTTTACATATGAGTGTCTGAATGTGTGTGTGTTTTATATATACGTGTGTGTGCTTATATCTGTGAGTGTCTGCACAGTATATGTGTGTGTTTTGAGAGTGTCTAAATGAGTGTGTGTGAGTCTGTGAGTGTACAGTATATGTGTGTGTGTGTGTGTGTGTGTGGCTGTAAATGGATTTATATGTTTTGTGTGTGTGTGTGTGTTTATATATATGAGTGTCTGAATGTGTGTGTGTTTTATATATATATATATACACGTGTGTGTGTGCTTATATCTGTGAGTGTCTGCACAGTATATGTGTGTGTTTTGAGAGTGTCTGAATGCATGTTTGTGTGTGTGTGTCTGTAAATGTTTATATATAATATATATGTAATGTGTGTGTTTGTGTGTGTGTGTGTGTGTGTGTGTGTGTGTGTATGTGTCTTTTTGAGTGTGTTTTGTAGATACCAGTGTGTGTGTGCTTGTATCTATGAGTGTCCGCATGGTATATAGGTTTGTTTTGTCTGCGCGTATCTGAATGCGTGTTTGTGTGTGTGCGTGTGTCTGTCTGACCTCCTGGTGTGAGAAGAAGTCTCCCGGCAGCCTCTCCAGGAAGGAGGCGAGGGAGAAGGAGGATTTCTTCTGGATGTCGATGACCTTCAGGTGCTCTGGAGATGGGCTGAGAAACGCATACAGCGCCTCGCTCTGACACATGCGCTCATCCGTCAGCACTTTCTGCACACACACACACACATAAACACACTCAAATATCACACAAACACAGATGCAAATACAACCAATAAACAATCCTTTTGAACATTACTAGCTCAATGTAAACCCACAGTGAAAAGCTTTGATTCTTCACTCTCCAGCACACTGTACAGATTCACCAGGCCTTCAGATACAACACACACAGACACACAGACACAGACACAGACACACACACACACACACACACACACACACACACACACACACACACACACACACACACACACACACACACACACACACACACACGCACACACACGCACACAAAAGCCTCCTGCAGCTCTGGGTGTCTGAGTTCTCGCTTTAAAACCTTTGGTCTTTTCTAGGAAATGGTTACCAGCAGAGACGTACAGAGGCATGCTGGGAAATAAGCTCTGTGAGATGTGTTTAAGGTAGGACTTTGGAAACGAACACACTGATAAAGCTTTTGACAGATAGGAAAGTTTACATTCTGCTTCGAGCATGTGGAAAATAGAGCCAGTATGAAATAGTTTGCACTTAAAGGGACAGTTCACCCGAAAATCAACATTTACTCACACAAGTGGTGGTAATTTATGGATTTTTTTCTTCTGTTGAACACAAAACAAGACATTCTGAAGAATGTTGGGGAAAGTAGGAACTTAAAACATTAGAGTTTCTATTGATGTACACTCACTGGCCACTTTATTAGGTACACCTGTCCAACTGCTCGTTATTGCAGATTTCTAATCAGCCAATCACATGGCAGCAGCTCAATGCATTTAGGCATGTAGACATGGTCAAGATGAACTGCTGCAGTTCAAACCGAGCATCAGAATGGGGAAGAAAGGTGATTTAAGTGACTTTGAACGTGGCATGGTTGTTGGTGCCAGACGGGCTGGTCTGAGTATTTCAGAAACTGCTGATCTACTGGGGTTTTCACGCACAACCATCTCTAGGGTTTAAAGAGTATGGTCCAAAAAAGTGCAAATATCCAGTGAGCGGCAGTTCTGTGGGCGCAAATGCCTTGTTGATGCCAGAGGTCAGAAGAGAATGGCCAGACTGGTTCCAGCTGACAGAAAGGCAACAGTAACTCAAATAAGCACTTGTTACAACCGAGGAATGCAGAAGCGCATCTTTAAACGCACAACTCTTCCAACCTTGAAGCAGATGGCCTACAGCAGCAGAAAACCACACCGGGTGCCGCTCCTGTCAGCTAAGAACAGGAAACTGAGGCTACAATTCACACAGGCTCACCAAAACTTGACAATTGAAGATTGGAGAAACGTTGCCTGGTCTGATAAGTCTCGATTGCTGCTGCAACATTTGGATGGTCGGGTCAGAATTTGGCGTCAACAACATGAATGCATGGATCCATCCTGCCTTGTATCACCACAGTGTACTCATCTTCTGATGGCTACTTCCAGCAGGATAACGCACCATGTCATAAAGCGTGAATCATCTCAGACTGGTTTCTTGAACATGACAAGGAATTCACTGTACTTAAATGGCCTCCGCAGTCAGCAGATCTCAATCCAATAGAGCACCTTTGGGATGTGGTGGAACGGGAGATTGGCATCATGGATGTGCAGCTGACAAATCTGCAGGAACTGTGTGATACTATCATATGGAGCAAAATCTCTGAGGAGTATTTCCAGTAACCTGTTGAATCTATGCCTTGAAAGATTAAGGCAGTTCTGAAGGCAAAAGGGGTCCAACCTAGTACTAGTAAGGTGTACCTAATAAAGTGGCCGGTGAGTGTATATTGTTAGGATAAGAACATAAATGGCTAAGACAACTATTTGTAAAACTAGTCTGAGGGTTCAAAAAAAAATTAAATACTGAAAAAAATTGAAGTGCTTAGCAATGCATATTAAGTTCTGGTATATTTACAGTAGGAAGTTAACAAAATATCTTGATGGAGGAACATGATCTTAACTATAACAGCAAATCTGCCATTTTTACTCATACTGTGTATTTGTGGCTATTGACTGGTTTTGTGGTCCAGGGTCACACTTTATGCAGGCATTCATAAGCATCTCAGCAATGGCTTTACCTGTAAAAATGCGTTGAGTTGATTTTTGGATTTGTCAAGGAATTTTTGGTCGATGGATTTGAAGGGCAGCTTGCTGAGTGAGGGAAGCTGGACCTTCTTGAGTGATGGAAAACACTGAGAGAAAGAAGCAGAGAGTCAGTTAGTGTGTGTTCAGTGCATGATCTGCATCAGAATAATAATGTTCAACAAATACATTTTAATGTTCTATTGGTATGGTTTAAAGCGCACAGTACAGGTTAGTGTTGTCACAATACTGGAATTCGATACCAATTGGTACAACAATTTTAAAAACATGCATTTCTCGCAAACATTTGAGCGGCATTTGTTCATGTGTTTAACAGAAATGACTGTGATTGGTCATCAGTTCACCGAACTCACCGCTTTTTACTGAGTGTAACCACAGATATAGGACACTGGAGCGTTTTAAAGTCACGTCGATCAGCTATAAGCTGACATACGGGCATGAACATTGTTCCTGTGTCTGTGGTTACACTCAGTGAAACAGATGACCTTCACAGCCAATCACAGTCATTCATGTGAACACAATGGCAAATCAATAGTTTAAGTACGTGCTGAAATGTTAGCAGGAAATGAGGGTTTTTAAAATTACAGTACTGATTGGTATCGAATTCCATTATCGTGACAACACTAATGCAGGTGCCCTTAGAGAATGTCTCAATCCACTTCTGCTTTTCTAAGGGCGGGAAAAAATATTCCTTATTCCCTTAATGAGTTATTATTGGTGAGTTTTGACATAATGTTCTGTAAACCAATCACATTCTCATCTCTTGGCAGGCAAGATGTTGCTACAGGTGAACATGCGCTACAGGTGAATTGAGTTGCGTAAATTGGCAGTAGTGTATGTGTATGGGTGTTTCCCAGTGATGGGTTGTGACTGGAAGGGCAGCCGCTGTGTAAAACGTATCCTCAAATAGTTGGTGGCTCATTCCACTGTGGCGACCCACTGATAAATAAAGGGACTAAGGCGAATTGAAATGAATCCGGGAGATATAACAATACGGGAGATGAGTGTGGAATATGGGAGACTCCCAGGAAAAACCGGAGTGTTGGCAGGTATGGTGTTTTTTACCATGATCCAACTCACACACACACACACACACACACACAGGTCAGTACCTCCGTCAGCTTCCGGTGCAGAGCCTGAAACTCGATGAGCTTCCTGCTGACGGTCCAATGGTTATTCTTACAATCGTCTTCTTCTGACAGACTCACGGCTACGAAATAACACGCCATCTGCTCGCCATTCTCCTCAGAGGCCTGTGACACACACACATGAAGACGCTGACTTCAAAACTATGTAAACAGTTCTATTTGAACGCACATGTGCTTATATAATTAAACCTAAGCGTATTCATGTTCATTTTAAACATGGCATCGTTAAACAGAAATGAACACATGTATTTCTGTGTTAATATTACAGTTTATATTGATTGAGCCAAACTTATTTTTAGCCCTTGAAGGCCAGGAGCGCTACTGATATGCACCTCTGCGGTGCTGACGACGGCTCGCCACGTGCCCAGGTTTTCACACCAGCAGTCAGTCCGGGAGATGTGCAGCTCCAGGTCACTGTGCTCCTTCTCCATGGCACTGATTTCATCCTTCAGGAGCGACACAATCTACAAGAAGGACATTTTCATGAGGCATTCGTTCATATATCATCTAATAGATCAGATGGTGTATGAACTTAAAAAAAAAAAAAAAAAAAAAAGTAGATTTTAATGTGTTTTATAGAAATTGATAAATAAATGAATATTGTAATATGCAAATGCAAATAATGTAAAAAAAAATGTATATATATATATATATATATATATATATATATATATATATATATATATATATATATATATATATATATATATATATATATATATAAGTATATGTATGTATGTATATATATTTTTTTTTTCTCAAATATTTATTTAACATTATTTGCAAATGTATTACAATATTTAATTATTTATTTATCAATTTCTATATGTCAGCTGGAACCAGTCTGGCCATTCTCTTCTGACCTCTGGCATCAACAAGGCATTTTTGCCCACAGAACTGCCGCTCACTGGATATTTTCTCTTTTTCTGACCATTCTCTGTAAAACCTAGGCATGGTTGTTTGTGAAAATCCCAGTAGATCAGCAGTTTCTGAAATACTCAGACCAGCACGTCTGGCATCAACAACCGTGCCACGTTCAAAGTCACTTAAATCCCCTTTCTTCTCCGTTCTGATGCTTGGTTTGATCTGTAGCACATCGTCTTGACCATGTCTACATGCCTAAATGCATTGAGATGCTGCCATGTAGTTGGCTGATTAGAAAATTGCGTTAACAAACAGTTGGACAGACGTACCTAATAAAGTGGCCGGTGAGTGTATATTTTTAAGTTTTTGTAATAAGACTTTTAATCGAATGATGATATTTTAATACATTTAATATCATTACTGGGGGCAAATATTAACTTAATTAAAAGAATACAAAGTCTTTTTGATCTTTAACTAGTCAGTAGTGCATCTAAAAATGGAAAATGGCAAACAGAAAACAGGTCATGCAGACGCTTCCTCTGCAAACCACATATATATAGACTGGTGTAGATGAAGACTGATAAATCACTGATAGACGTCTAGCTTTATCTACATCAGTCTGCAGTAGTAATATGTGGTTATGAAATAAAGTTCAAACCAATATTTTTTTCAGCTAGGTTGGCCGTTTATATTTAAGCCGCAGCTCATTTTAACCACAGTCACTAAACTGAGTCATTACTTCTGATACTGTCTCAGTTTTCACAGTTGAGTATCAAGCCGCTTATCAAATGCTGGAAGTTTTGACTCTTGATAAGACAGAATTAAACATTAATAATTATAGCTGCCTCAACATAATGCTTGCAATGCAATTTAGTTCTATGTTTTACCGACTCTCTTATTAAATGTATTTATTTATTTGTTAAACGTATAGAAATGTAATTTATTTGATTATTTCCCTACTATGGAAGTACATTTGTAACGTCAGGTTTCTGCATACCATCGGTTTTTATCGCTTCACCAACATTTTCTAGACTTAAAAATAGACTTTTTGATACTCAGACATTTATTTTATAACACCGGATTCACAGATGAATTGATTCACACTTTCTAATATTATTAAACTTAAAAAGTATTTTAAGAAATTGATCCTTATATTTAGCAATTTAGGACAAAGTCACAATTTATTATTCAAAGCATCCTCTTAAAATAAATGCTGCTTTTGCTTTTCACAAATAGTGAGAAGGAAACTTGCATATCAGAATGATTTTTAAAAGATAAGGTGACATTTTTAGACCACCGCTATTTCAAATTTCAGATCATTTTTGTTTTTACTGAAAGAAGATAAAATGTCGACCTTTTGGAAGCCTATATTGTTTCCCCTAAATGTACAAATATCCTAATTTACAAGCAAAAAGAGCTTAATATTAGGATTGCACAATTAAATGTGTTGATTAAAGCACTCAATTTAGATCAGATTTGTGCTTTGCAGGTTTCAAATTTGATCTTTGACCAATCACAGATATATCAGCAGTCTGTCTGATGCACAATGAAGGACCAGTGTGAATATTATACAGTGCATCTGCAAAGTATTAATAAAGCTTCACTTTCCCCACATTTTTTTATGTTACAGCCTTATTCCAAAATAGATTAAATTCACTTTGCAGTACATCTCAAGCTCTATCAGGTTGGGTGGGAAGCGACTGTGTACAGCCATCTTCAAATCTCTCCAGAGATGTTCAATAGGATTTAGATCTGGGCTCTGGCTGGGCCACTTACACAGAATGTCCAGAGTGTAGTTATTTCCTCAAAATTCTACACACAATTCCCTGACAATGTGAAAAAGTTGAACCACAGGTGAACTCCAATGAAGCTGCTGAAACATCTGAAGAATGATCAGTGGAAACAGAACATACCTGAGCTCAATTTAGAGCTGCACGGCAAAGGCTGTGAATACTGATGCACATGTGAGTTTTCAGGTTTTTTATTTTTTAATAAATTTGCAACAATTTCAAAACTCTTTTTTTTTTTACATTGTTATTATGGGGTGTTGTGTGTAGAATTTTGAGGAAATAAGTGAATTTACTCCATTTTGGAATAAGGCTGTAACATAAAAAGTGTGGAAAAATTGAAGCGCTATAAACACTTTCCGGATGCACTGTAATGATCTACTCAATATAAAAGTGAGAATATTCCAGATAGCTCAGACTATAATCTCGTGTTTACCTTTTTATCAGGTCGCGGTGCATTCTGGATCGAGCCCAGGGCTTGCCGTTTGTATTCCAGTCTCTCGTACAGCTGGTGGAGTTTGGTGGCAGCGTAACTGGCCTGTTCATTGATGCCTTTGCTGCCTTCATCCAGAGCCACGTCTCCTCCTTCCATCACCTGACCCTAAACACAGAAATATAGCAAAAAGTGACATGTTTACCTTATAACTTGCTTTGGTGCCGAGATTTAAGCTCAGTCTCTTTCAGATTGTAGCTAAAGTTTTTTAAAAAATTATGAAACAAAATTTTTGCCTTTATGTTTATGATAATAATTAAAAAATAAATGTATTATTTTAATGTTACATAAAGCATGTGTTTTACAAAACCTGGTTGAGCTTAAAATTGACAGAAAATCTAAGCTGAACATCTGAACAAATTATCTTCACATTTGAATTTGATATCTCTAAAAAATGAGCAACATCAGAAACAGTTTGTTTGACCGCAGTACCAGACATCACCACCAGATGACATACAAAATATCTTCCACTTGTGAGGAATATGAACCATATTTTTTATCCTTTTAACAATGTTTATTAAAGTAGACATACAATTCCAAAAATAATATGGTAAGTTTGGTGGTATGTTTTTTCATTTAGCCTCTAAAAAACATCTAAAGTCATCTTTTAAAAAATTACATTCGGATTGCTGTAGCAAAGTAATCCTTTACGACTCTAACGAGTATCCTTGTTGCAAATGAATAAATAGTTGTTGCTCAATAATATCTATCAAAAATCAATCACCAGAGACTAGAAACTAAAAATTTTAAGCTTTCAAATGACACACATATACAATTTTTATGAATAATTTATGTTTAGACAATATTACATTTAGTATATATTATAACCACACAATATTATGATTAAAAATGGTCCCACAAGTTGTAGGATGACACAGTAAATGCGTTTTAATCTATTACTCTTCCTACATGACAAAAAACAAAATAACAGTGGTGCAATAAGTATTTAGAAGTCTTATAGTTTGTCGTGATTAGATTAGAATTTAATTGCAAAAAGGTGATGCAAACTTAACAGTTAAGGAGTTAAAAGACACTAATTAATATTCTTATGATGTTATTCTACAGGAGAAAACGTTAATGTATCTCCAAATACTTTTAATATTGTCTGTGTTAAAAAAATGCTAGGCTATTTATGAAATCCAGGTCACGGTTGTCATAAAAGGTAATATTAGCTAAAGACACCAAAACCACTGTTTGTTCCAGGCTGTAAACACTTTTTTTCTGTTGTGAAGTTTGGCATTTTAACATGGAAGTCTATGAGATTAACCTCCTTTTGTAGCCAGCCTCTAGTGGCCAGTTAATGCACTGCAGTTTCAATCACGTCCATATTAGCTTCACGAGGAATAGCAGATTTTGCAGATTTATTTGGATGTGGAAAGTGTTAAACTCACAGTGTCGTCTTTCTCCTCGCTGCTGGACTGTGAGCTGCTCCTCTGCTCCTCTCGTTTAATCAGCCGCTCGTACAGGTCGCTTACTAGGAATGATGGGTAATAACGCTCCTTCATGGTCTCGTACACGTCTCCCTGGATCCTGTGAAACACGTCTGTGCCCTTGTTCCCCACCAGAGTCTGCTGGATCTCTTTATACAGAGCTTTCTCCACCGGGATCTCCCTGCTCTCTACGAAGAAGTTCTGGTAGATCTCGCCCACCAGTTGCGGCACTTCATTCTGCACACAATAACCATTAATTATGCGCATTTTAGAATATTGCATAAAAAAAGTTTAAAATACACATGAACAAAAAGCTCCTAAATGCTAAGACTAAACGTGGCCCATTTATCCATATGATAAATAAGATGCTCTATCAGTACGCTAGTAATAAATCCACACTGTGCTTTAAATGGATTTGGTCTTCAAAGTTCTGCATTTAATCGACAGATTCACCTTCAGATCCAACCAGCAATAAACAAATGGCTAATTATAAGTGTTTGGTGCTGTTTCATGCTCAACTAATGCTAACCGCTAATAAGCTACAATAACAACAACATTAAACAGATTGTTGCGAATCTGCTATGGCACAGAAATTAACCAAATGTGCCACGTTTCAGCCATCCAGGAGAGCTCATTTATTTATTAGTTTTCCTTCAGGCATAGTCTCTGATTTATCAGGGGTCGCCACAGCGGAATGAACCATCAACGACTCTTGCATATGTTCTACACAGCGTATGACCTTCAAACAAAACGGATTTATTCGCAAAAAAGTGATGTAAACGTAACAGTTAAGGAGTTAAAAACCCCTAATTATTATTCATATGATGATTTTCTACTGGAGGAAACGTTACTTCGAAATACTTTAACTAATGTATGTCAAAAACAAAGCTGGGCTATTTATGAAATCCAGGTCACGGTTGTCATGAAAGGTAATATTAGCTAAATAAACAAAAACCACTGTTTGTTCCAGGCTGTAAACACCTTCTTTTCTGTTGTGAAGTTTAGCATTTTAACATGGAAGTCTATGGGATTAACCTCATTTTGTAGCCAGCCTCTAGTGGCCAGTTAATGCACTGCAGTTTCAATCACTTTCATATTAGCTTCCTCTGATTTGTCAGGGGTTGCCACAGTGGAATGAACCACTAACTACTCTGGCATATGTTTTACGCAGCGTATGATCTTCAAACAAAAAGGATTTAATTGCAAAAAAAGATGTAAATGTAACAGTTAAGGGGTTAAAAAGCCACTAAGTAATATTCATGTGTTGATTTTCCATAGGAGGAGTTGTTAATTACTTACAAATACTGTAACTATAGTCTGTTTAAAAAAATGCTAGGCTATTTATGAAATTCAGGTCACAGTTGACATGAAGATTAATATTGGCTAAATACAACAAATCCAGTTTGTTCCAGGCTGTAAACACATATTTTCAGTTGTGAAGTTGGGCGTTTTAACATTGAAGTCTATGAGATTAACCTCCTTTTGTAGCCAGCCTCTAGTGGCCAGTTAATGCACTGCAGTTTCAACGACTTTCATATTAGCTTTATCTGATTTATCAAGGGTTGCAACTACGGAATGAACCACCAAATACTCTGGCATTTGTTCTATGCATTGTATGATCTTCAAACAAAAAGCCTTGCTTTTATTTAGCAAACAGTATACAATATTCCGCATGCCTCAGAGAAGTTGTTCAGCATCAATAAACTTTCCGGGAACCACAGAGTGATGGAAATAACGGATTCAATCAGCTCCAACACTGCAGGCTAAGTGGCGGAGCCGGTAATTGCTAATTTAACACAGCTGGACATAATGGACTGAGACCATTATACATTAGCCTGAGTGACGTGCTGATACGCTTTCAGACGTTTGGTTTCTGTGGCCCGGAGTTACTTTCTGGATGCAAGTGGCAGCAAAAATGAGCAATTAGTGAATCTGCAGATGTGGAGAAACCGGAGATCGTTTTTCAGATATTACTAGCCAGATTTGGCAGTTAATTGTTTCTCATGGGGGCACATAAGGTCATTTTTTATGTCAAGTCAGTGATTTTATTGGCATTCGAAATGTCTGTTTCTCCAAGCTGAATTAGCTACTGCTTTCTGACTGACACCGCAGTCGTGTGGTGCTTTAATCGCAACGAATTTACAAGTAGGGATCAAAAGTGGAAGCTGTTAAAGGGTCACGAAACACCAAAACACATGTTTAGAGCTGTTGACAGTCGTATGTGTCCCACACTGCTAAAAACACTATTAGAACACCTATATTTCACTAAAAAGTGTAAATTGGTTGTTTTTGCATTATTTCAAGCAAATTCGTACTTTCGGTTTGAAACGAATGTTTGAAGCTGCGTCACGGCCATGAGATCTTAGCGTGTATTCCAGCGTGCAGACTGGACGTCTGTGCCAGAGTGTGTCTTATTACGTCTTACAGTGTGTTGCATTAATGCATGAGTAAGGCTTGGTTCAAACCAATCAGCGCGCTCTATTGTGCAACTTCATTAATATTCATTACTGTCACAGTGTTTAGACGACAGAGACGCCACGTTGTGTTGGCAAAACAAGCGTGAAGTGTTGCTTTTATAGTTTGCTGCAGTTAGGTTTTGTTTTCATTTTCTCTCTGTCAGCGCAGCTGGAGTCACGCGTGAATTAACAGTGTACGCGACGCTCGACAACAATAACTTTCGTGTCTGAGGAGGAACATTGTTTACCCAAGAGCTGTTCTCATCTGCAAACGCTGAGATCCGGATTCGCTTGTAGTCTCCTCTTTATAAAGACGCGGCTCTAGTTGCTGGTGATTGTCCTGTCTCTACAGATTTGGTAAGTGAGCGACCAGTGCTCTTTGTTTATTCAGTTTGTTCGTATCGAATTAAGTTAACTATTGCACTGAGTGTAAACATGTTAGCACCACAACCAAACTATAACCTCGTGTTGGATTTTGTGACCGGAATAACACACACGGCTTTCTGACGCTACCTGCCGTGTGCATCTAAGTTTCTGGGAAATGCTGAGGTTTTTTTTTTCTCTCATTCGCCGTGCGATATCAAACATTGCATGAAAATACACGCTTAGAGCAGCGCCTCGAATCAAATATCTCGTTTGTCGCGAGGGGCATGAATGAATTCCCTGAATGAAAGAGCCAAACTGCAGTTAAAGTCCACCATTTAATAGTTTGGCAAATAATTCGACTACAGATGTCCATGTAAACACCGTCACTTTCTCCCGTGTGTGTGTGTTTTGACTCTGAAAGTCAGCGCGCCCAAATAGACACTCCCACACCAAGCCTCTTATCTTCCTCCGACACTCCCCCCTAAACAGAGCTGGACACGCCCACTTTTCTGACTTTTTCCAAAGTAGAGGTGTAAAACACCCTGCTGAAACGAGGGGGTTTCATGGCCCTTTAAGAATAAAAAAAAATCTAAAATCATGTAAACCTTTGTGATATGCCATTATTATGGGATAAACTACACTGTTATATAAATGATACAGATACAAATAGAGTAATCATTTCACTTCTACAACAAGTATCGTACAAGTTATGCTGAGTTCAGACTGCACGATTCCCCAATTTTGACTCGCTAACATGTTTTGAGAAATCGCAGACAAATGGCTGAAATCACAGGCAAATCGGTGCTCGTTCACGTGAGTAACAAGCGCACAGTGTGAACTATCAAAGATGCAATCTGAGAGAATCACCGATGAGATGCCGACATCTGTGAGATATTTGCCGTGCTAAATATCTGGAGCTGTCGGCGATTCAGATCATGTCATGTAAAATGTGTTCTGATTGAATATAACATCTGCGATCACCTATAGCCAATAGGAGAGCAGCATCCTTTAGTATGGGTATCTGCAGGCCAGCTGGAGGTTGGGGGAGAGGTTAAAAGTGCTTATTTTCAGGTAATTTGGACCCAAGAAATGGAGGAAAAACTGCAATACCACAACCGGGTCAAAAAAGAAAAAAGTTGAGGAGAAATTGCTAATTTCACTTCAAACCCAGGTAATAAGTAATATAAGTGCATTTTCTACCGCTCTAAAGGCTTCTTTCTCATTATGTAGTTAACAACCAAAGATTTACTACATGACCTTCTTGCATGTGTTTGGTTGTGAGACGTAGTTTGGACAAAGTGGTCGGCGATTCTTCTATGTCGCCAATCCATCCTACAGTGTAAACACAGAACCGACAGACTGCTAACCCAGATAGTCATGCAGTGTGAAAACATCTGTGACACGGCTACTTTGAAATACGTGCAGTCTGAACTCGGCATTATGTAATCTAATTCTTAATAACAAATGATTAAATTAAATACTATTGTAATAACTGTCCCCAAAATGGCTATTATTACAATAAGCAATATAAATAAATGTGAAAATATTCACTAGTAAATGATTTATTTAAAAGTTATTAAACATTTGCCAAAGTTGCTTGTTTGACTAGTAAAATTACTATAAAACAGATATACATACACACAGTTGAAGTCTGAATTTTTCGCCCCCTTGTTTATTTTTTTTCCCAATTTCTGTTTAACGGTGAGAAGATTTTTTTTTAACACATTTATATTTATAATAGTTTTAATAACTCATCTATAATAACTGATTTATTTTATCTGTGTCATGATGACAGCAAATAATATTTGACTAGATATTTTTCAAGACACTTCTATACAGCTTAAAGTGACATTTAAAGGCTTAACTTGGGTAATTAGGTTAACTGGGCAGGTTAGGGTAATTAGGCAAGTTATTGTATAACAATAGTTTGTTCTGTAGACTATCAGAAAAAATCTATAGCTTAAAGGGGCTAATAATTTTGACCTTAAAATGGTGTTTAAATAATTTTAAAAGTGCTTTTAATTTTTAGCCGAAATAAAACAAATAAGACTTTCTCCAGAAGAAAAAAGAGGAAGAATACTACTTTTATATATATATATTTTTTTTTTATTTGAAATTCGAGACAATTAAGTATTTAATAAAGGGATCTGTCCAAAAAGTTTATGAGACATTAACCTATGATCACATATTTTGAAAAAAGGAAGACTCTCCCCTTTATCTGATTTATATAAAGAAATCTGTGCAAACAGGTTTAATTGTGAACGCCAATATGGTTTGGTTTCATATTTATGTAAAAGACCACTATAAATGTATCAGAATGTTGATTTGCAATATCATGTACTGTGGGTAATTATTTATTTGAATTATTTTTAAAGTTAATTTTTTATTTTATTTTTATAACTATTATTATATTTTATTTATTTATTTATTTATTTATTTATTATTATTATCATTATTATTATTAATATTTTTCATTTTGCTATATTTGCATCTATTCCTGTTGTAGTTGTATTTTAATTTTATTTGTTTGCTAATTCATTTCGGCTGCAATGTTCAAAAATAGGGGGGTGGGGGGGGGATTACAACCTTGATTGTACAAACTGTTTTGTTAAAACTTAAGAAAATAATCATAAATAAATGTTTAAAAAAAAGGCATATTGTGAAAATTTCCTTGCCGTGTTAAACATCATTTGGGAAATATTTCAGAAAGAAAAAAGGGGGAATAATAATTCTGGCATCAACTGTATGTATGTATGAATGTATGGATGCATGTATGTATGTATGTATGTGTATATATATATATATATATATATATATATATATATATATAAAAAACAGTCGGACTTGGCTGTATGTGTTCAGCTTCAGACCTTGTTGGCCGTCTTGAGCATCTCCACCAGCTCCCAGAAGCTGATGAGAGCCCTCTTGTCCACACGCTCCATGTAGACGCGGAAATGATCCCGATATACAGAGTTGGACATGATCTCCTCGAACTGGAGGATCTATGAGAGGACAATAAACACATGAAGAGATGCTGTTATTATCATATATACATAACATGACGATTTCTAAATGACCCATTTTTTCCAGGTAGCATAAGAGAAGCCCTGTTTGTCTAGTACTCGATGACGTTTACAGTATGATCATGCAGTGATGTTTAATCTCCACACACTGAGGTCTATGTGCTCCGGGTCGCATCAGTATAGGGACATTCAGAGCCGTTTGTGTATGACGGGACGCCTGGAGCTACCATTACAACAACAGCAGGTCATATGAGCAAAACTCAGATGCAGAAAGTCAAAACATTTTCTTTTTTAGTCAAAACATATTTCCATACTTATGTCATGAAACACAAGAAGACAGAACAATATGAGCCACTATATTATTCACCTTTCTCTGATCTGAATACTGTTTTTAACTCAAACCCACATCAAAATGCAAAACTGATTTGATGTCAAAACCTGGATATCCACACAATGATGGCCTTTTGACCACCAATATAATGATTTAAATAGTATCATAATGTCAGAAATTTGTATTATTTAATTCCGTATTTACACTTGATTATGTATACCTACAATTCATGTAAATTAACATGAGAATCTAATATTTGCTTTAAATAACAAGGCAATAAAGCTGCGGTCACACTGCACTTTTGTCCCCATAAACTTCCATTCATAAGCACACAATTGCGTCAGACCGGAAATGCAGGCTTGAGCAACAAGTTTCGCAGCTCGCTGCATTGGAAAGTTCAAGCTTGGTGAACTCTGACCTGCAAAATAACATTGCATGATTACGTGGGACTAATCGAAGATCCAAACATTACCTCTCTGTACAGGAATTTAAAACATGGAGCAATCGCTCGCTTTATAAAATGGCTAGTCATCTTGTTTGATCCGGCCTCTTTTCACAGCCCCGTACGACAGAATTTCGCACGCACAAACTTTAGTGTGACCGCAGCATAATCGATTACAGTTTTTTGACGTCAATGTTAGATGTCAATTTGATGCCGTTTTAACTTCAAGGTAGTCGACTGACATCAAACCGTTTCGCATTTTTGATGTGCTCATTGAGTCATTTCTTTATACATTTTAATTGCTTTGAGCTTTTCAAATTTCCCATTTTAGCTAACACAAGCCATTTATGTTACCATTTTCTTTTATTATTATTATTATTATTTAAATGTGTATATAGTTGACATTTTTTGGTACTTATTTTAGTCAATTTTGTAATTGTGTTTGACTAGGTAGCTGCTTTATATTATACCTCAGTGTGTAGGAAAGCTACTTGTGTTAAACATCGAGCATGTAGTTTTCTAATTATAAGCTATAATAATTAGGTATTAAATGTTTAGTACTTCAGTAGCTTAGTATATTAAAGGGACAGTTTACCAAAAAACACTATTAAAGAGATGAAAATGATGACTGAATATTCTGTCATTTACTTGTTCTTTACATGATGACACACACAAAAGAAGACATTTTGAAGTATGTAGTAAACCGGTAACCATTGACTTCCATAGTATTTTTTTCACACTATGGATGTCACTGGTCATCTGTTTTGGTCAGCATTCTTCACAATATCTACTTTTGTGTTCAACAGAAGAAATACACTCATAAAGATTACTTGAGGGTGAGAAACGGAGTAATTTATATACTGTATTTTATGTGTGAACTATTCCTTTATTTACTCCCCTCAGGTCATCCAAGAGCTTTTTTTGATGAACTGTTCCTTTAATATATCATCCTACCGCAGCTTCATATTGAATTTGATATGTGTTTTATATTGGTATGCACTTCAGTTTGTAGAAAAAACTACTTGTAATAAACTTTGAGTATGTCGTGTACCAATTATGAGGTGTAATAATTAGCTATAAAAACTTTTTAGTACTTCAGTTTACCAAAAAAAGAAAAGAAAAATCACTATTTAAGGGATAGTTCACCCAAAACTGAATATTCTGTCATCATTTACTTGTTCTTTACTTGTTGAAAACAAGAGAAAGTATTTTGAAGTATGTTGTTAACCGGTAACCACTGATAGCCATAGTATTGTTTTTCACACTATGGACGTCGGTGGTCATCTGTTTTTGTTCAGCATTCTTCACAATATCTTCTTTTGTGTTCAACAGAAGAAATACACTCATAAAGATCACTTGAGGGTGAAAAGGATGAGTATTTTACTTATTTTGTGTGTGTGAATATCCCTTTATTTACTCCTCTCAGGTCATCCAAGAGCTTTTTTTGATGAACTGTTCCTTTAATTAATCATCCTACAGCAGCTTCATATTGAATTTGATAAGTGTTTTATATTGATATGCACCTCAGTTTGTAGAAAAAACTACTTGTAATAAAAGAAAAATCACTATTAAAGGAATAGTTCACCCATAACTGAATATTCTGTCATTTACTCGCTCTTTACTTGATGACACACACAACAGAAGACATTTTGAAGAATGTTGTAAACCGGTAACCATTGACTTTCATAGCATTTGTTTTTCACACTATGGACGTCGGTGGTCATCTGTTTTTGGTCAGCATTCTTCACAATATCTTCTTTTGTGTTCAACAGACTTAGAAAGATCACTTGAGGGTGAGGGTGAGTTATTTTTGTTTCTGTGTGAACTATCCCTTTATTTGCTCCCTCTCAGGTCATCCATTTGATTTGATTTTAGGTGCACTGTTCCTTTAATAAACCAACCTACAGTAGTCTCACGTTGAACTTGATATTAAAGAGATAGATTAACCAAAACTGAAAATTCTGTCATTATTTACTAACTCTTTACTTGTTGAACACAAAAGAAGATATTTTAAAGAATGTTGTAAACCGGTAACCATCAACTTCCACAGTTTTTGCTTTTCCCACTATGGTCACCAGTTTTTAGTCAACACTCTTCAGAATATCTTCTTTTGTGTTTAACCTAAGAAAGAAACTCATAAATATCGCTTCAGGGTGAGAAAACTGAGTGTGTTATTTATTTTGTGTGTGAACTATCCCTTTATTTACTCCCCCTCAGGTCATCCAAGAGCTTTTTTCCAAACTGTTCCTTTAATAAATCAACCTACAGCAGCTTCATATTGAATTTGATAAGTGTTTCTTTGCTATCAGATGGGTCATTTTCTCCAGTACCCGTTGGCTCTGAGGCCCGTCTCCTTCCTCCTGGCCTCCGTCCTCCTGCTGCTCATAGTTTGGTCCCCCGAGGAGCCGAATGCGCTTCTCGCACTGCTTCTTGGCCACCGTGAGCTGGTTAATGTAACGCTTCATGTTTCTGGCACGTAACAGATCGGCCTTCAGCGCTGCCGCCTCTTTTCCTTTACTGTCTGCAGAAACACAGAGAGATGTGTAATCTCACTAGGCCTGTCACAATAGACAAGTTGTTTTTTGTGATATATGGTCACAAAAATACTGTGATATAGTGTCATTATAGTCATTTTTAAAACCTTTTTATGCCACTATGTGATAATACAACAGCAAATTAGGGACAAAAGGGACAAACTTTCATTCTTAAATCAGAATGAGCTTTATTTGCTAAGTGTACACAAGGGATTTGTTGTTCGTTTTAAAGGGACAGTTCACCCAAAAATAAAATTCTGCCATCATTTACTCATCCCTCACTTGTTCAAAACATCTGAGTTTCTTCTGTTGGACACAAAAGTAGTTGTTTTGACGTCTGCTGGTAGCTGGCACATAATGACCTCCATAATCCTGGGAGTTGGCACCTCAATAGTGTTTTTTTCCCCACTATGGAAGTCAATGGATGCCAAAGAAAAATATCTTCTTTTGTGTTCAACAGAAGAAAGACACTCATAAAAAGCACACGAGGGAGAGTAAATGATTATGCATTGTTCATTTTGGTGTCAACTATCCCTAACTATCCCTTTAAGGTTGTTTAGATGCTGTAAATTGATGTTAATGTAAATGTCCTAATATAAACTTAGACAGTGGTGCTGAATGTAAATGTACTTTTATAATGGTTTTAATGTTATCTGTGGATGTACGTCATTTTGCGCTGTAACTTTTCAGATATTTTTTAGAGTGCTGGTTGTTGGGATCCACTGACTTCCATAGTAGGACAAAAAATACTATGGAGGTGAATAGGTGCCAGCTACCAGCATTATGGACAGGGTTCATACACATTTTAATACTAAAATTCCAGGACTTTTGCATGACTTTTCTAAAACTTCCGGGTAAATATTCATGACCATGTTTCATGTAATGTCTACGTATATGTGGTAAATAAGAAAAAAGTATTACAGCATATCAAAAAAAAATGTGACAATCTATGTAAACTGTAAAAAAATCCTGGTTGCTTTAAATTATTAAGCTAAATCAAATTAACCTCATGAGTCCATTGAACTTATATTATGTTAAACTGACTTAAAACAGCTTGTGTAACTTTTAAAAGCAAGTTATAACATTAATAACTTATAACATATGCTGTCAGGAAAATTGATCATATCATTTATTTACTGTGTAGTTTATGTTTATTTTTTACCTGTAAAATAGTTTTTAGAAAATGTTTAGAAATGTTGGCTTGTGTCTTCACATGACTAATTAGCGTTTAGCACCCACATTACCGTACCTCTGTAGTTAGAGTTTGTTTCTGGATATGACACTCAAATGTATCTTGCATTACGATGAATGCAAGTGAAAGAGAGGTGAAGCTGAAACTGCAAGCTGCTTTTTGGCCCACACTGAGAATGTCACGTGAAGGGATAGACATCGCAATTGTATTTGAAATTTACCCAATATTATCATCTCAAATATAGTCAAGTTCACTGATATTTGTTAAACAAATTTCCAGGACTTTTCCAAAACTTTTTGGGTTTGTTTATTTTTCCAAAACTTTTCCAGGCAGGCCTGAAAAATGCTGTCAAAATTCCATGACTTTTCCAGGTTTCCAGGATCGTATGAACCCTGTATGGAGGTTAATAAGTGCTTTCGTTTGTGTTTAAGTGTTTGCGTTATTAAAAATATATATTAATAAAATAAAATATTAATTATATAATAATAATTATAATCTAAAAAAAAAAGAAAGAAAAATTATGTAAATATATTTACACACAAATAAACACACATGACCATGCATTCATAAAAATCTGTAAAAAAAAAGCTATTAAAAATCTTATTATTAAATCAGAGGGTTGCCATTCTGGTAGAAAATAAAATAAAATAAAAAACATTTTAATTAATATTTGATCTCCTAAGTTCCCAGAGATGGGTTGCGGCTGGAAGGGCATCCGCGGCATAAAAACTTGCTGGATAAGTTGGTAGTTCATTCTGCTGTGGCGACCCCGGATTAATAAAGGGACTAAGCCGACAAAAAAATGAATGAATGAATGAATGAATGATCTCCTAAGGTGGGGGAAAAGTTTTAAAGATTTAAGCACCACCTTTCACTGACACTGTATTAAAGCCATTTCCTCAAACAGCTTGTTTTTCTGCCAGTAGTTTCAGTGAATACCAAAACACATTTAAATTGATCGTGGAGTGTAATATGTGTAGGAATCAGCCGAGGTGTTTTATGGGCTGCAGTAAATGTCACAATCCAGTGTCTGCATGCAGAGCCGCTCGAACACGAACAGTGCCTGACTCACTGCAATTACCCATCAGCCCATCAAACAACACACACAAATACAGCACAGCTTCTTCAGATAAACATGAGCAAACGGAGAAGCTGTATTGGATGTATTATTGGCATATTAACATAACTTCTTCAGTTTAGTGCAATATTCTGTGTTAGCTGCTGACAGATTTTTGTTTACATTCAAATTGTCCATCATGAAACTCTTCAGATCATTATACTCATTCCACATGGATGTTTTTGGAAATGGGCTCATTTTATGATTGCCCTGAAAAGTTTGACCATCTTTAAATCCATTCAGCCGATCTCCGGGTCTGGCAAGAGCACTTTAAGCTTTGTTTAGCATAGATCATTGAATCGGATCAGATGATTAGCATCTCTCTTAAAATTATTACTATTTTTTTTAAATGGTTAAACTCAATTCACACAGATGTTTTAGGAAATCGGCTTGTTTTACAACTCCCACAACAATTGAGTTTTTTAAAAATCCATTCAGCCGATGTCCGGGTCTGCCGGGAGCACTTTTAGCTTAGCATAGATCATTGAATAGGATTAGACCATTAGCATGTCTCTTAAAAAAAAATAAAAATAAAAATAAATAAATAAATAAATAAATAAATAAATAAATAAATAAATAAATAAATAAATAAATAAATAAATAAACGGTAAAACTTAATTTACACAGGTGTTTTTGGGAATCTGCTTATTTTGCAACTCCCACAACAATTAAGTTTTGACATTTTTTAATCCATTCAGCTGATCTCTGGGTCTGGCGGGAGCACTTTTAGCTTAGCATAGCACAGATCATTGCATCGAATTAGACCATTAGTATCTCACTTAAATCATTATTATTTTTTTTAAATGGTTAAACTCAATTCACACAGATGTTTTAAGAAATCGCCGTGTTTTACAACTCCCACAACAATTGAGTTTTACCGTTTTAAATCCATTCAGCTGATCTCGATGTCTGGAGCACTTTTAGCTTAGCTAAGCGTAGATCATTGAATCAAATTAGACCAATTGCATCTTGCTCCAAAAAAAAAAACAAAATGGTAAAACTCAATTCACACAGGTGTTTCTGGAAATCGGCTCATTTTACAATCACAACAATTGAGTTTTGACATTTTTGAATCCATTCAGGCGATCTCCGGGTCTGGCGAGAACACTATTAGCTTAGCATAGATCATTGAATCGGATTAGACCATTAGCATCTTGCTTTAAAAAAAATGGTAAAACTCATTTCACACAGGTGTTTTTGAAAATAGGCTCATTTTACAACTCCCACAACAACTGAGTTTTACTATTTCTGAATCTATTCAGCTGATCTCTGGGTCTGGCGGTTGAACTTTTAGCTTAGCTTAGCATAGTCCATTGAATCTGATTAGACCATTAGCCTCTTGCCTGAAAACAAAATAAAAAAAAATGGTAAAGAAATGGTAAAACTCAATTCACACAGGTGTTTTTTTTAAATAGGCTCATTTTACAACTTTTGAAATAGGCTCATTTTACAACTCATTTTACAACAAGCCAGATGATAATATGCGGGCCCCAGTTAAATAACTAAGCAACAGCGCTGCATAATATCATTGTACCCGCTTCAGCCATTGTTCAGCAGCAAAATTCGTTGATTATTACGCCAGAATGAGTGTAGAATTCCTAGTCATATTAGTCTAGACCAGTGGTTCTCAAACTGTGGTACGTGTACTACTAGTGGTACGCAGGCTTCCTTCTAGTGGTACGCGGAGGAATGAAATATGTCATGTACATGCTACATATATTTCAAAATTTATCAAAAATGATGTATATAATATGCCATGACATATAGCCTATATTTCTGAGGTAATCCGTCACGTTTTTTTTAACTGTGCAGAGTTGTAGCTGCTTTACTGGGCCTACTATACGCTACTGTACTTCAATACTGCTCATTTTGGTGGAACTTGGAGAGACAATTTTTTTCTAAAGTGGTACTTGATGAAAAAAGTTTGAGAACCACTGGTCTAGACTATAGCAACGGTTCATTTTCTGTCAGTCTTAGTACACAACGCACAACAAAACAGTCAAGCTTTAAGCAGGAATATTATAAAAACTCTTTGTTTTGTATTTTGAGCGAGATGCTAATGGTCTAATCCGATTCAACTATCTATGCTAAGGTAAGCTAAAATGCTCCCATCAGACCTGTAGATTGGCAAAACGGATTCAATAATGGTAAACCTCAACTGTAATGCTAGGGAAGTTGTAAAATGAGCACATAAAAGTGTAGTGTTCCATTAATGCTTGATGGAGAGTGTGTCTGAAGCTTTGCTCTGATGCAATCATCATAGACAGTGAATCAGATCCAGCTTGGACTGTGACACAAAGATGACAAAGAAGAAGTAGGGATAGTGTTCATAATAATACACTATCTATTCAAACAGTTTCAGACGAGTTAAAACAGGACAAAACATAGCCTTTTACTTCCCAATGATGACGTACATTTTGATAACATTATAAGTTAACCTGAGAGAACAGTACAAAGAAAACAAAAAAGCCAGTTCATGACCCTGTTAAGGCAAATTAGAAAACAGGAAAATAAAAATGGAGTGCCCACACTGAGCTTAAAAGATCACCAACGTCAAAATGACTGTCTGATTCGTTGAAGATCATCTTACCCTTCTGTCTCTTGAGCTGAGGAATACTGCTGATGGTGGTCGCCTGGATGATCTCCACAACTATCTGATACCTGCAGAAATACAGCATGATATTTGAGTGACTCTGATGCATGGACATATACAAGATATTACAGTTTTTTTTAAGAAAACATTGCATATGTTTGCTAGAGCTTTGTTTTACAATTGATCAAATGTTCTGATTGATTTTAGCATCCAAATTAACCATTTTGGGTTCCAAAAAACTACCCAGAAACCTCTAAGAATGTTCTCTGTTGGTTAGACTGGGGAGTTTTGTTTTTTGTTTTTGGAAGTAGACAGAAAATTCCCTCTGGGTTAGAAGAATATTCAAGGAATGCTCACTCAATGCTCACACAATGCTGCAATATTCTGAGTATGTTGATTTAGTGTTACCTAAAAACCTACAGATAATATTCCCAGAATATTCTTACTTGGTTCCCAAAAATTAACCAAATGGGAACCATATGGAAAAGTTAGGAGAGTGTTCTGTTGCATGTAGTTGCTAATGCCGAGTTCAGACTGCATGATTTTCAAAGTAGTCGTGTCACAGATGTTTTCACACTGCATGACTATCTGGGCTAGCATTTCGTCGCTGCTTTGTTTACACTGCAAAATGGATTGGCGACAGGGGCTTTCACATTGCATGACTTTACTATAGGAAGAATCGCCGACAACTTCATCCAAACTACATCTCACAGCCAAAAACACGTCGTATATCTTTTGTTATTTACTACATAATGAGAAAGAAGCCTTTAATGGGGTAGAAAATGTACATATTTGCTCACCTGGGTTTAAAGGGAATTAGCCATTTCTCCTTAACGTTGCTAATAAACTAATTTCTTTCTGTATGAAACGTCAAACAGACACGGTTGCTCCTGAGTCCTGTCAAACCACTAGTTTTTCCTCCATTTCGTGGGTCCAAATAAACCGAAAAAGAGCGCTTTAAACCTCTCCCCCAGCCTCCCGCTGGCCTGCAGCAGGTATACACACACGCACACACAAGTAAATGTGGCTCTCTCATTGGCTGTGGGCGAACGCTGATGTTATTTTCAGTCAAAACTCAATTCACACGGCATGATTTGAATCGTCGACAGCTTCAGATATTTAGCATGCCAAATATCTCGCAGGCATCGGCGACTCATCGGCGATTCTCTCAGATCGCGTCTTTGATAGTTCATACTGTGTGATTGTCACTCACGTGCACGAGCAGCGATTTGCCTGTGATTTCAGGCATTTGTCGGCGATTTCTCAAAACCTGTCGGCGAACCAAAATCGGGGCTAAAATCACGCAGTCTGAACTAGGCATAAGTTGGCTTTGGTGGTTTCTTCAAATTTTTATTTTATTTAAAAATCTGATGATCTACAGAGGAAGTGGAAACAGGTACTTGACTGGCCATTTATATATTTTATTGATGAATTTATTGATCTTTTGTAATGATAATGTTAACACACCTGGCAAGGTTGGGGCAGTATGGGAAACGCAAATAAAAAGAAAGTGTAGTGATTTCCAAATGTACTTTGACTTGTATTTCATTGCAGACAATATAAACACAAAATATTTCATGTTTTGTCTAATCACTTCATTTAATTTGTAATTATACATCCTTTCCTGACATTCAGAGCTGCAACACATTCCACAAACAGTTGGGACAGGAGCAGTTTAGGGCTAGTAATAAGGTCAATTGGTTAAATAATGATTTGGAACAGGTGATGTCAACAGGTGATTATAGTTATGATTTGGAACAAAAGCAGCATCCAAGAGAGGTCTAGTCCTGTAGGAGCAAATATGGGCAGAGGATCGCCAATTTGACAACAAATACATGAGAAAATTAAAGCTGCAAGCAGCGATGATAGGGACCTCGCACCCGGGCTCACCGCCGCCCGGTGACCTTACGATGACAGAGAACAGCGAACAATAATAATTTAAGCCAATATATAAAAAAAGATCTAAGAAAATCACAGATTTATACCAAACTTCCTCCTGTCAGCAGGTGGCGCTATAACTGTGACTTAAGATTGGCATGTAGATGTCTTCCGGAGAGGAATCTTATCAACCATGTGAAGTTTCAGGCACATGGGACATTGTGTGGCTGAGTTATAAGCCAAACTACCTTCTGCCAGCAGGTGGCGTTATGACTGACTCAATATTATTATGTAGATGTGTTTTGGAGAGGACTTTCATCAACCATGTGACATTTTAGGCAGATCTGACATTGTGTGGCCGAGTTACAAGCCAAAATTCCTTCTGCCAGCAGGTGGCGCTATGACTGACTCAATATTGTTATGTGGATGTGTTCAGGAGAGGACTTTTATCAATCATGTGAAGTTTCAGGCAGATCAGACATTGTGTGGTTGAGTTATAAGGCATTCCTGTTCTATGGCGAAGCGTTGAGGTTTGTCATGCCACCACAGACACGCCCCTCTGCAAAAACTCTAGATCTTCACAATATATCATCGCTAGAGCTTTCAGATGACACCACTCTATTTTGGTGCTGATACGGGAAAGTTTGTGGGAGGAGTTTGTTAGAGTGTCAAACATGTCATTTCCTGTGGCCAGCAGGTGGCGCTATAGCTGTAACTGGATATCGGCACGTAAACCTGATCAGGTCAGGACTGTTATTAAATGTGTGAATTTTGAGGCAGATCGAATATTGCATGCCAGAGTTATAAAGACTTCCTGTTTGGTGGCGAATCATCAAAGTTTGCGAGGCCGCCACGGACACGCCCATCGATGAAAACTCTAAAGCTTCGCAATTTAACATCACCAAGGCTTTAAGATGACAAAACCCAATTTTGGTGTTTATCAGATAAAATCCCTAGGAGGAGTTCGTTAAAATACAACGCCTGGAAATGGCAAAAGCGCCACTTTTTCGTCACAGGAAGTTAAAAATATCCGACTTCCTGTTGGGTTTGAGATATGGCTCCAAGAGACTTTTTCGTATGTTTTGCCATGTTTGAGGTGTGTGCCAATTTTTGTGCATGTGCGTGATTCGTAGATCGGGGGCTCGTCCATTTAATTTTTCTAGGTGGCGCTGTCCAGTCATTTTGCCACGCCCACTTCAATATTGTTATGTGGATGTGTTCAAGAGATGACGTTTATCAACCATGTGAAGTTTCAGGCAGATCGGACATTGTTTGGTTGTGTTATAAGGACTTCCTGTTCCATGGCGAAGCGTTGAGGTTTGTCATACCGCCACGGACACGCCCCTCTCCAAAAACTCTAGATCTTCACAATATATCATCGCTAGAGCTTTCAGATGACACCACTCAATTTTGGTGTTGATACGATAAAATTTGTGGGAGGAGTTTATAATTCCGTAAAACATGTCATTTCCTGTGGCCAGTAGGTGGCGCTGTAACTGTATCTGGATATCGGTATGTAAACGTGTTCAGGTCAGGACGCTTATCAAGCGTGTGAATTTTGAGGCAGATCAGATAATGCATGCCTGTGTTATAACGACTTCCTGTTTTGTGGCGAATCGTCAAAGTTTGCGAGGCCACCACGGACACGCCCATCGATGAAAACTCTAAAGCTTCGCAATTTAACATCGTCAAGGCCTTTAGATGACAAAACCCAATTTTGGTGTCGATCGGATAAAATCCCTAGGAGGAGTTCGTTAAAATACAACGCCTGGAAATGGCAAAAACGCCACTTTTTCGCCGCAGGAAGTTAAAAACATCCGACTTCCTGTTGGGTTTGAGATATGGCTCCAAGAGACTTTTTCGTATGTTTTGGTGTGTTTGAGGTGTGTGCCAATTTTCGTGCATGTGCGTGATTCGTGGATCGGGGGCTCGTCCGTTTAATTTTTCTAGGTGGCGCTGTCGAGTCATTTTGCCACGCCCACTTCCGAAGCCCATAACAAACGTAAATTTTCGCCACTTCTGAGGCGTGTGCAAAGTTGCGTGAGTTTTCGGGCATGTTTAGCCCCTCAAAACCGCGATTCATTCCGCGGAAGAAGAAGAAGAAGAAGAAGAAGAAGAACAAGCAGCGATGATAGGGACCTCGCACCCGGGCTCACCGCCGCCCGGTGGCATCAGGATGACAGAGAACAGCGAACAGTAATAATTTAAGCCGATATATTAAAAATATCTGAGAAAATCACAGATTTATGCCAAACTTCCTCCTGTCAGCAGGTGGCGCTATAACACTGACTCATGACTGGGATGTAGATGTCTTCAGGAGAGGAAACTTATCAACCATGTGAAGTTTTAGGCAGATCGGACATTGTTTGGCTGAGTTATAAGCCAAACTGCCTTTTTTCAGCAGGTGGCGCTATGACAGACTCAATGTTGTTATGTAGATGTGTTTAGGAGGGGACTTTCATCAACCTTGTGAAGTTTCAGGCAGATCGGACTTTGTGTGGTTGAGTTATACTGCAAACTACCATCTGCCAGCAGGTGGCGCTATAACTGTGACTTAAGATTGGCATGTAGATGCCTTCAGTAATGGAATATAATCAACTATGTGAAGTTTCAGGCAGATCGGAGTTTGTGTGGTTGAGTTATAAGCCAATCTACCTTCTGCCAGCAGGTGGCGCTATGACTGATTCAATATTGTTATGTGGATGTGTTCAGAAGAGGACTTTTATCAATCATGTGAAGTTTCAGGCAGATCAGACATTGTGTGGTTGAGTTATAATAACTTCCTGTTCCATGGCGAAGCGTTGAGGTTTGTCATGCCACCACGGACACGCCCCTCTGCAAAAACTCTAGATCTTCACAATATATCATCGCTAGAGCTTTCAGATGACACCACTCTATTTTGGTGCTGATACGGGAAAGTTTGTGGAAGGAGTTTGTTACAGTGTCAAACATGTCATTTCCTGTAGCCAGCAGGTGGGGCTATAACTGTAACTGGATATCGGCACGTAAACCTGTTCAGGTCAGGACTTTTATCAAACGTGTGAATTTTGAGGCAGATCTGATAATGCATGCCTGAGTTATAACGACTTCCTGTCTTGTGGCGGATCATCAACGTTTGCGAGGCCGCCACGGACACGCCCATCGACAAAAACTCTAAAGCTTCGCAATTTAACATCACCAAGGCCTTTAG